GACGGAAAGTTCTTGCCGCAAACACAGCAATCAGGCTTCATGCTGCTATTGCTATTACCTTCAACCCCAAAACCCCCACCACCATTCGAGCTGCTAACATCAGAATTGTTGGGCTTCAGAATCTTGGTGGGTTTTTGAATCTTGTTCTTGCGAGCCTGAAACAGTTCTCTGTTTGCTTGAACATGCATTCTCATGTGACCTCCAAGTGCCTTACCTGAGCTAAACCCCTTGTTGCAGACCTCACAGATTCGAGTGAATTCAGGAGGAGCTGGGTATTTGCGTTCTTGGTCTAAAGGTTCTGACTTTGGGAACTTGAGCTTGGCAAACAGTCCTCCATTGTTGCTCTCTGTCTCTTGGTTTGCTTTCTTGTTGGGTTGTTGTTCTTGATCGCCAGCTCGTGGCCGAAACCGAGTCTTTTGGTCTTCAATATCCATTGGAGAAAAAAACCCAGCTCAGAAAAAATTGTGTGTGAAACCGCAGCTACTGAGGATTATGAAGACAAAGCTCTCCTTTTTTTTTTTTTTTTTTTTTTTTTTTTTTTTTTTTTTTTGTGGTGGTAAGAAAAGAGAGAGAGAAGATATGGTGGGTAGGAGGAAGGAGGGAGCTAGAGCAAGAAGCACATATATGAGTGCACAAACCCTACAAGGAGATAGAGATTATATGCATATAAAAGGGTAGCTTAGCTGAGAAGCAAATTAAGCATCTTTGATCATAATCTTGTTTAAGGTAATTATAGTCCTGAAAATCCTGACCTTCCTAAAATCAAGAACGCTAAGAGGGGAAAGAAACAAGGAAACTCTGTGGCTTCCAGCTATTGATGTCATAGATTAGAGCTCAAAATAAGGCCCAAAGGAAACAGCTCAGGAAAGAAGCAGAGAAACCAAACCAACCCAGAAGAGCTATCAGAGATATTAAGAATGAGAGAGAGAGAGAGAGAGAGAGAGAGAGAGAGAGTGATGAGAGAGAGAGAGAGAGAGACCAAAAGATAGGGGCTTTCCAAATTCTGCAGCAGTTGGCCAGGCCTTTGGTCTTTTAAGTCACCAGATTGTTATAGGATGATTTATATTAATATTGATATTATTAATTTAATTAGCTTTATAATTAATATTATTATGTGTTTTTTAACTGCTCTTTTGTGAGTTTTGGTTAGTGGGAAATTGACTGTCCGGCCTGTAATTCCGTTCTTTCAGAAGCTCCAAATTCTCATAAAATTTTGAGTCACTGACTGAATGTGTGTGTGTGGGTGAGAGAGAGAGAGAGAGAGAGAGAGAGAGAGAGAGAGAGACAGTGCACATGAAAACCATAACCACTAAAACCAGCACAAATTAGAAGACTCGAAGACTTCAAGTCTCCAAACAAAACTAATTACTGTTTAGTGTGAAGTGTGCCACTCACTACGACTATTTAGGAGGCACTAAAACACTAACTATATAGTTTCTACCCACCACCAAACCTGCCCCAAAGATTAAGGCTTTTTAGATTTTCTTTTCTTTTTTCTTTTTTTATAAATTTTTTCTTTCCATTTTTGATTTTGCTTATTGATTTTGAGGTTTTCCTTGGAAGATACTCCAGGCCAAACAACCCGAAATCTCTCAAATTTTCACAAAATTTAGGCTTCAAAATCCAAAAATTATTATTATTTTCTTGTAATATTACAATTTGTAAGCACTAATTAATTAATTAATTATTTCTCTGATTTTTCTTTTTGGGATGAAATCTTTTTGGGATTTTCCTACCCTAACAAGGAGAGGGAGAAAGGGCAAGAAACCTTGCGAAGTGGGAAGTCTTTCGTGGGTTAGTTTCAAAATCCATGCTTATCGCCATCTCTTATTTTAATAAATGTCATTATTATCCCTTTTAATTTTTTTCCCCCCAACCAAACAACACTATAGTCTCTCTATAAGTAATTAGTAATCACCGGAGAAAATTTTGCAATTTATTTCCTCTATCTTTTTGTTTCCACGCGGTTTCTCAACCCTTTCAATGGCCTCCATGCACGTTTCCAATTTTACCCCTCAGTTTTAACTTTTAATCCCATGTTTATGGCAAGTTTTTTGTTTGGTCAATTTTAAGGCAAGTTAGACAAACCTACCAACGGGGTTTAGCCCAGTTGTAAAGGGCAGAGTTTTTGAGTTCGAACCTCCATGCCATTTTGGTTGTGTGTATGTGAGAAACTCCCATTCTCCTGTAGTTTAGACCATCGCTTGTAAAAAAAAAAATTATAAAAAGAACTAATCCTAAATGTATGTATGTGCTGTGAGTGGAATTTTATGAGCAATGATTTTAAAATTGGGTCACGTCCATTGCTTATGCATTATCTAACCAATTAACAGCTCTTAAACTCTTTTATTTTGAAAGAACAAAGTCTATTATATTGGTTTTGAATTTGATATTAAAAAAAAAAAGCGTGAAAGATATTGGTTGTGATAGAGAAAAGAATTCATTACTTTGGTACATAGGATTTTTTGTGTCAATGGTTTTCTTTTCTCTACAGGTGACAAAGTTTTATTTAAATCCTTGTATATCATTAAAATATTTCATGCTTACAAATTAAAAGATTACAAGCTAAGCTTGGCATATCTTTTCTTAATTTTGAGGGAGAAAATGTGTGATGGAATTCATTACTTCGGATAAACTCTCGAGAAAATGAGAATTGATGGCTAACCATCATTCAAGAGTTTATCCAAACCCATGTAATGAATCATTTCACACATTTTCTCTATCAAAGCCAAAAAGATATGCTAAGCTTGTAATCTATTAAATAATAATTACCTTTTATTTAGGCTTGAAAACTTTTATGACATACACGATTTTCAAATTAGAACTTCAAGGGAAAAATAGGATACATGGACATGGTATGTTCTATGTTGGGAGGACAGGGCCATTTACAAAAATAGAACATACCATGGTATATTTAGTTACTTTCAACCATTATCTTCATGACTCCATTCCGCATAATTAAGCGAAGTTTGTTCGCGATAAGAGAGTTTTGCTAATGCTAGTTACCCAAACAAGTATGAATAGAAACGAAGTTGAGAGGGATCCATAATAATTAATAACTATCAATCACTCACGTTCACACGAACAATAGAGGCAAGTATTCTTCTAACAATAATTTGGTTCTTCCTTAGTAACATGATAAAAAAAATTCTTTAAAATTGATGGGTTGATAATTTAGTATTTGTCATGTTCTAATTAGTATTTTTAAATTTTTAAAATTTAAAAGCGTAATTGGATATTGGTTGATATTAGATGGATGGATTCATAATTTTCATGGCTACAATATATTATCTCTAATCACAGTGTTTTTTTCTTAATTAAAAAGGTTATTATCTCAGTTTTTGCTTATGTTAGACGGTTATGAGGAAATTTGAGAGCAAAAAGTTGAGTTTGGAGTTTCATGAACGCGTAATTAAATTAGTAATATTATTTAAGGATCGACTAAACAACACTTTACGCCAATCAAAACTCAGTTTATGTTTCCCTGTTGGGCATAAAAATATATAATTTGTTTGAATATTATTAGAGTTCGGAAAAAAGGTGTGATAGATGGATTAATTCCTTCTGCAAATAATCAAAATTCCATAACCAGGCAGCTTTCATGCTCAATCTTACAAGCTAGTCCATGTCAAATATGAAAACAATTATAAAGTCCCTTTCGTGGTAGGTAAATTAAGTGCTTGAGGTCATGCCAAATTGCCGATGTCTGCCCTTTTAAATAAAAACTATATCATAAATTTGTCTCTATCTTCCTCTAAAATAGGTGCTCATCGATGTTAAGCACATGACTCATAAAAAGGCATTGCAAATCTTTTAATATTAATCCCAGTCGAAAATATTTGAGGAATATGCTACTCGATTTAAACAGACATAGTGTGTATCACAGTTCCATATTCATTAGTATTTTTGTGTGCTTGTTCGGTGCATTGTGTCAAATTTTCACACATAACGTAACATTGTAAAATTCGTCATAAATTGTGCATCTCATCTCGTACGCACTCTTGTGAGAGCTTGCTACATGATTGGCTACTTAAGTTATCAATATATTGCTATAAATTAAAGTTATATCCTCGTATTGTGTCAATTTGTAAAAAGAGAAATATAATTCTTTATACCTAGTGTATTACGCAAAATTCAACACTAGAATAAGAAAACTTCTTATGAGACACATAATATTGAAACATCATAGCATATTCAGCGAAGTCCCCATGCCAACCAAAGATGGCCTTTAATAACATTGAAACAGCATAGCATATTAGCATGGCATGGCAGCCTGGTTCTTCTGAGGGGAACTAAGGTAAATAAAATATGATATTTACCACGTCATGTAAGGCCAAAAATATATGTTCGAATTTATTTCCTAAGCCAACAGTTTTCTTATTAGTGGATTACATAAAACAAGTTATGTGACAATGAGATTAAAGTTAGATAGAAATCCAATATAATAAAAATAAAATTGAAGTAAAAAAATAATTTAGGATAATAAAATTGTAGTAAAAAATAAAAAAAAATAATCCAAAACAATTGTAGCGAAGGCTTTGCAGGGATTTGCATTCAGCAGGTGTTGGAAACAGTGCACTGAATTGTATTTCCAATTCATATATTTGACTTTCTCCTTTTGGCCCAATATTCATAGGTTGACTTTCACTTTGATCACACACACACAAGAGAGAGAAGTTGACTGTTTGAATTACTATTTTGCAACAAAATGTCAAGAAATATGAAGATTATTACTGTAATAAAGTTCTGCTAATCCAAAATGAAGGTAAATTCAACAGTTATGTTACAGAGCTGCCCCTTTCACCCCTTCCGCAATTATTCCGGACGAGCACACTGAGGGGTAACCTTAGTAAAGAAAAATGGAAACGGGAAAAAGGCGGTTAAACGGAGGGAGTAGCTACTACTACAACAACTACTACTACTTCAACAACAACAAGAGCACGCAAGGGAGGAAAATGATGCCTATGAAACAGGAGCCTATCTAACCGACAAGATGGAGGCTACTGTTGTGTTAAATTGCCGGAAGATTTATATTCCAGCATTTCGGTCCTGTATCTCTCCTTGTCCTGCATCCCTTTTTCCTGATATACCTGCATGGTAGCAATGGAGTGTTATGATGACTGCCCGAAGATTGAGCCGATAGACTCCAAGTTTATCATATGTCAAATTGGCTCAGTGAGGAAGTTAGAAAGGTTGAGAATCAAGGCAAAAGGAAATGAATATAGTCCAAACATGTGGAATTTCTCTTGAAACCTTAGATCAATACTTATGCATGTCACAAAATCATCCGGAACTCATGTATAAGAGAGTGAGTTCAAGGATGCAGCAGGTGTGACATTACTTTTGGGATGCTATCAGCTAAAAGAAACTAACAGGAAAAAAACTGTGTCACCAATTCATCATACCTGTTTCTCAGCCTCTGTGAGATTGTTCCATAGAAACCCAATTTTCTTGCTGATGGCTCTCTCTTGTCCATAGTACAAAGGCTTTAATCTGGCATAATGCTCAGCGAAGAAGAAATTGTACCCGCTCCTGTTTGACTTGGGCCGAGAGGGATCACGTAATGCCAACCTGGACCTCTTTCGATTCCGTCGGGTGGGCATGTCCGAAAAACTCTGAGAAACATATGTAGGAGCATGATACAAGACACCTTTCAGCTCGTCAGAACCCAAGTTCACAGAAACCAAATATCCATGGTCAAATTTCCCATCTATGCTTCCCATGATTGAACAGCCAAGCTGCACTTCTGAGCTTTCTGTACATAAGATAGAAAAAACAGATCCGTATTACAATTTGGTCATGACCCACAGCTGAAAAAATTGGCAAAGTAACAGGAAATAATAATACAGAATTAGAAAGATGAAAGCAAACCCCTTATAGAAAGTCATCAATTTATAAGACAGATTGGCTAATAAAGTTTCCAATGTCGTTTATGCAGATTGTCTAATAAAATTTACAATGTTGTTTATCTTCCTTCATTGCAACTTTCAAAAGGGACGTCACAAAAGCTCGATCACCAGTGAGAAATTTCTTTATTCAACTATCCGACTTCAAAAAGTTACAGAAACAGCTATTCTATATGATTGATTCCAAGACCTGTCAGGTTTCTTCTATGATTGCAAATGAAAGGCAATTTGGAAACTTTTACTGTTTAATGTAGACACCAAACTGAAAATATACATACATATGACTCTACTTCTAGAATTAGTGTAAAAAATTGAACACAACCACTACTAGAACTATCACATTGAAATGGAGGTTACACCTACCCTGACCTGGAAACTGGTTTCTACTGGCACCTTCCTCCAGGGTGGCTGACCCATTCAAAAGGTTCCTGCTAAGAGGTTCTGGGAAGAAAAAAGAAAAGAAAATTATAATCTTTCTAATCTACAAAAAGAAACAACACAAAGAATTAATAAGGAGCCATGTCTTCAATTACCAAGCACTGGGATGCTAAAAACTTCTTTGTGGAAATAATAGGCCTGCTCAAAGTGATAGAGCAAAGACGAATAGTACTTCCGCAAGACAAATGAAGCGCTGGTAATTGTTGTTGGGAAATTGAAGACCACAATCACTTCCTTCCATTTGCGATCTCTAATCACCTGTAACCAGTTTAAGAGAATTTGAAGGGGAAACAAACCCAAAAAGAGAAAAAGCGAACTTTGAACACTTTCATAAGCCTCTAAACTTATGTAATCAATATAGGTAAAACTTACGTAAAGTTGGACACTTTCATAAACCTCTAACTTACTTTGGTCTTAACTGAGACTACCAATAGACTAATAGTTATAAGTCAGCCTCAGTTCAAACTCAGCTGTGACCCCATCCCCCATTCATCATAGCTAGTGTTCAAAACACAGAGTGTAAATCATATCAGGCACACTCAACAATACTAACTAGTTAAATAGAGGATAACTGAGGTTAAGATCCACTTTTCAAGCAATATGTTTAATTTCAGCTTCAAGACTCTCATATAAAAACAGCCATGAAGTAGAAAAATAAAATGCACGAACCTTTTCAAGTCCACCACGAGATGTGACTTCCACAAAAAGGAGATGTAGATCCAGAGCTTTTCCTCCTACGGTAGGTATCCTACACAAAGAGCATCAATTATATCCTCATGGACTTTCTGTTTTTCTGCACTCCACACTCAATTTTCATGAACTCAAGGATTCAGAAATATGATCCTAGAGGACAGATCCTGTTGAAGTCAGGTCCTCCATACTAAGTTTTCATCAATGCTTAAAAATACTGAAAGGAAACAAGTTATACAGTTAGGACAGCAGGTTAGGAAAGGTTTCTGATGCCCAAAAATAATCAAAAGAATCATGGCATGACAAAGCCCACATTATCCTTCGAAGTCAACCCACTTTCTCTTGATAGCTGAATTTATATTTCTTTTTTTTTTCTGGGAGAGAGAAAAGGGGGGGGGGGGGGGGGGGGGGGGGCGGGGGGGGGGATGAGGATGAACTGTGAGAGAACGTGAAATGCTTCAATACGTAGCCCCCTTCTCATGCAAATATTTCATATTTTGATTCTTAACCTATTAGGAATTTAAATTACACAACATGACATGAATGAAGAAACCCTTTCGGACATCTCACAAAACACCCAATTTCAGGCATTTTATCAACCACCACAGATAAATTTTCCTAGTTATCAAACAGCCCAAATATTTATGCTTTCGGCAGGTAGCAAAAGCACCAAAGTCTACCGGAGCACTCTTAGAAAATTATGCAATAATATCTAGGCAAATGTAAATTGGCAAGCATAAGCCAATAAACCAAGAAATTGAAGACTCGTTAACCCCCTACACGGAATTTAAGTTTCCATGAGCACAAAATAAGAATGAAGAGACATAAGGAAATAACAGCTCAAAAGTACCGACACCGAAACAATGGCATACTAAAAATATGTAGTAATTATTAAATCACCCAAAAGGAAAGAGTCCTAATTTCTCCACAAATCCCAGATCCAGCAAATACAGTCCCGTTTCACAATCAGTATCAGAGTGTTTTCGGTATGGTAATGCTGCATAGATGGAATTTTTAAAGCTCAAATGTAGATATATGAGAAAAATTATATCCCCAATTATTGAAGTTAAGCAAGGGAGCCAACAATTAATGAAGACTTGGGAAATTTCACTTTTCTTGAATGAAGCATCTCTGGTGAATGCCAAATTCAGATCTTGGAAAAGAAACAAAATCTTCCTAATGAAAAAGAAAAAAGAATAATAATATAAGCCAGTATTGCAGATGGGTTGTGGAAATGATGAATTGCATTGGAATAAATGTCTGTATTGCTCAAGTAGCCACCATCCCCAACTGAAACCCAGGTAGAGAGAGGCACAATACGACATAAAAGTTTCATAATGGTATTCAAATAAAAACTAGAGACATCCAGTAATGGAATCCAACATCATAAATCCTTGATAAGGATCCTAATTTTGCTAAAAACACACAAAACGATTGTACAATGTAGTTCAAAATTTTCAGAATTATGCAGTCATTCGCCATTCAATCAATTCAACCCGAGGATTAGGCAACATAGTTTGATTAAAACCAGTCAATTGAAGTATGCAACATGCAAAAACAATGGCAATATATAAAGTATAAGCATAGAATCTATCAATTCCTCTAGCATATTAAGACATAAAATAGCAAAGACAAAAACAACCCAATTCATCAAATGACCCAACAAAGCAAAATCTAAGCTGTTAGAAAAGGGAACAAAGCCAAATTACACGAATTTGGTTCTGAAAGAATCGTGAAACTCCTTGAGCTTTTCCCAGAAAAGGTCAGAGCTTTGAACGACTTCCTCATACTTAGCCGTGGCCGGAGGATAAACCTTGGTAGTGGAGGTGAGGGATGATGAGGAAGACCCATTAGCGGTTTCAGTGCGCACTTGTTGCTGCTGAGCTGAAATGGCTGAAGAAGGCTCCTTTTCTGTAATTGGTGTTGTTGGGGCCTCAGACATTTTTAGTCAGAAGGAGGGTAAAGATGGATTAAGATACTAGGTAGATTTATTTTTGCTATTCCTAACCTACCAGAAGATAACAGACCCCTTATATAATTAGTCCATTATCAATATAAGATATAGGATAATGCTCGCTATTCTAAGTTGCTAACCTAGAAAACTTTCAAACAATTAAATATTGATTCTCAAAAAATAAAATAAAAAAGATTGAGCCTTTTATTTTCTTTATAAAAAAAAGATTGAAACTTTATTAGGATATAAATTAAACCAATGTTTTTATTTTTGTTGGTGAAGGGAATGGGGATGGCCTGATGGGTTTGGTAGCACACAAATTTGGGAAGGCAATGTCAAGAAAGGTATTTCCTGCCCAAAATTAATATGATTATCTGTGCCTTTTAGATCTTTTCTTTTTCCTCTTTTTTGGTGGGTTGTAAATTAAAGTAGGTAATATGGGAAAATTTGTTCCAACGGTAAGGGAAATCAAGATGGTGACTTTTTTCTTGGTCAGAAGTAATTTAAAAAAAAAACATCAACAGTGTTTCAATTGGAGGTGATTTTGCACAATTCAGATGATAATACACGTTTACAGATTATCAAAAACATTAACAATAGGCTCCGACAAAAACAACAAGAATAATAGAGGTATATTACATCCATAGACATCTATACATTTGACTTGAGCATCTCTAAAATTGTTTTATCCTCCATTTTAAACTAGATTTTTATTATTCTATGTGAAATTATTTATACAAAATAGATTTGAGGGCTATGAAGCACTGCTATTGGTGAAGGGTTCAAATACAAAGTATTGCGTAGTAAATTCAACTAAAAAGTTCCAAAAATCAAATGATTATACATAAACAAAATATAAAATTATATATTCATAGATATGCAAAGTTCTCAGATTGCTGGGTTTGGAGATTCCCTTATTTGTCTAACTTGAGTTAAGAAATTATGCTTGTGTTGTCTTAATTTCTTGATTATCTTTGCCCAAATTATCCAAAAAACTAAAATTAAAATAGGGTTATTTTGGAGAGAGAGTATTTTAAAACTATGACATAGAGAATGTGTCAAGTAGTTGTTGTGTTGATGCCTTAAGGTTAATGCAAGCTTGGATTTTTCAGAACATGAATAGAGCAAGGAGCAAATTAACAGAATCAGAAGGCTCTCCAATCTCAATCAAAAAAGAACACAACAGAGCTTTCCAAATTCCAACAACAAAACACATACATGTAAACTCAAAAGTTAAAAATGAAAATCAACAAAAGAAGCTCCCCAACTAGTGATTCATTAATAAGCTATACAAATTACAACACAAGAGAGAAACACAACATGGTGGATTTAAATGGAATGAAATCATTCAAAGAACTTGGGATCATAGCCATTGCTAGAAGTGGCCAAGATGTAGTAAGCTACTATGTGACCAATGGAGCCCCAAGCCAGAACATCTACAATGTTGAAGCCAACAGGGTCATTAGATTTGAGGAGGCTCACATACTCCTTGGCTCTGGTGTCTCCTGCCTCAAAATGGGTTACTCCATTCTGCTCAGGCAAGCCTTGCTTGGCCACATTCTCTCTCTGGAAGTTGAAGAACACAAACCTCCCCAAGAAGAGTGACAGCCCTGTGCTCAGGCTTATGACCAAAGACGGGTTCAGCTCTGCTCTCACAACACCACTTGATCTCTTGGTGTTTGGTGCACTGAAGCTCAGCTTGGTGCTTGGGGCAGCCTTGGTGAGGGGTCTAAGGCCTTGGAAGGAGATTTGGGTTGGTGAGAGTTGGTGAGTATGGCTCCTTGAGATGGTGGAAGAGATGGCTGGGGCAGAGAACAAGGTGGAGGAAGAGGCTGCCATTGTTAATTATGGAAGAGGAGGAAGGGTGTGGTTGTGAGTTTGGATTATGAGAATTATGATAAAAGTAGAGGTTGGCTTGTGGAGGGGATGAGATTTGTATAATAGTGTAAAAGGGCCATATCCCCACCAGTTGTGATTGGAGTAGAGGTGGAGATTGTGAGGATGGAAAGGATGGAAAAAAGATTTTGGATGGTGAGTTGGCCTTGTTTTATTGGTTCCTTCTGGATCAGAGATTTTTGGCTAGCTCTGAATTCTGTAGTCTCTCAACTTGTAAATATTGACTAATGCAGCGAGGACTAGAGAGAATCCCAACTTTTAGATCATGTGGTGTATTAATATAAACTCAATCCAAGGACATATTTACCTATCTGAAATCAGTAGCGAAATAGTAGGGGGGAAAATGGAGGAAAAAAAAGAGTTCATATCCTTAATTTTCTAAATAACAAAGAATAGGAGGTTAATTAAAAATTAAATACGAGTTCAGGAGGTAAATCACCAGTATGCCCAAAAAGTTTATAAGTTCTGTGTTTCTGTAGTGATCTTCGTATAAACAAACAAGACTCAACACTGTTTCCAAGTGTTTACTTACCTTTACTTACAATACTATATCAAATTTTCATATCTTTAAAAGGAACTATTCGGAAAAGTAAGCTAGAAGATGCAGAGGGCTCTCAAGATGAACAAGTGTACAGGCCAAAGTATTATTAGAGAGCTAGCCAATCAAGGAAACCTCATCCCAAGAAAAATCAAAATTTAAGGCTGTTATATTATCATTAACTAATACAACAAAAGTTGCAGGATAATTTTATTTGTAGTACTATTAAAGGATTTTCTTCAACAATGGATAAACCTTGCTCTCAACATCGACACTTCAGAGCAAAAGTTAAGACCCACAATAGAAGCTACAGAACAGACAGTAACTTTCAATTTCCAAATTAGACAGGAATATCAAACTCAACCAGATGATTGATAGGTTCTCACATAATAAGTCCCACATTGAGATAAAATTTCTAAAAGGTAAGCATCCAACTTGTTTCACCTTAAGACACCCTGGTCTTCTTTCCTATTTGTTTGGACCATCACTGCCTTAGCCTTCTGTACATTCCTCCCTATTACACACATTTATGGGGGGAAAAACGACGGAACACCAAAACAGAGCTACAATTGCACAAAATACTACATTTACACCTACACTCCTCAACTGCATGAAATATGTTTTACACTAAGCTCTGCAACCGCACCGAGGAATCAGCAACACCAACACACTTATTCGCAGGTTGAATATTCAACTCAAACAAGAGAATCGAGGTAAGAGTAATGCCGGTATCGGCCATACTCTAGAAGACTACCATACGTACGATCCCATACTCCGATAAAAAGTGACTCTGTGTCTGGGCTGAATGATATGCCAGATATCTCGCCAAAGAAATCAATTTCCTGTTCCTTCTCGTACCCACTTTTCACATCATAGACATGAACAAAATCTGCTGGCTCTGCCATCATCATATACCGGCCATCAGAAGTAAAACGGATTGACCGAATAGCACCAAGGTTGCCCTTCAAAACAGCAACTGACTTGGATAGGTTTCGAACATCCCAAATCCGACAGGTTTTGTCTTGGTTCCCAGTAGCAAAGGTGATACCATCAGGATGCCACGCTGACGCAAACGAGAAATCCAAGTGCCCAGATAAAGGCATTACTGTCTGCAATAATCTCATCCAAATCAGCACTACTTCCTTTTCCGGGCCACAGGTGGATAAACACCAAAGCAAAGTAAGTTAACAAATTCTAAGATAAATACCTTTCCAGTTTGAGAGTTTACCAACATTCCATCCGGATTGTCTCCAACGATTACAAGAAGTTTACCATCGGGACTCAGAGAAGTATGCTGCAAACAAAGCATCACGGCAGTTTAGTAAAGTTAAGTGTAGGAAGGGTTTTAAGTGATTGGATCTCCACAAGTGAAATGTTACACAATATAAAATCATCATTGGATGAAATAAGGTAATTTCCAAATTCACACTTAAAAAACAGCTGCCTAAAGAATATCATATATCATTTGCAGGAACAAAAGCACAACCCTCCATGAAAGAAATTCCAGCCAGATATGATTTGAAATTAACAGTCAGCAGGAGACTCACATTCACTGGCCAAGGAAAACGGAAATGCTTAGTAAGCTGAAATTTCTCCATGTCAAAGTCTCTCACTCCACAATCATTATTTGAGGCTGTAAAGTGAACTGCCCCACTGTGAAATTCAAGGACACTAGATCAGTTGAGTTCATGTTTGGAAATCAGAAGTTCCAATCTTAATAAAAAGAGCAAGTACCTGGGACTGTCATAAATCTCAACAGCATTTGTGATGGCATTATCATCATAAGTTGTCCTTGAACAAAAGCTAACTCCAGGCCGATCCAGATGCTGCAGACCAATCAAAGATAACATAAATTTGTCAGCTTAGCTGTTCTTTAGTTCTTCAAAACAAAAACAAAAACAAAAACAAAAAAATAATGAAACTAAAAGGGATCACTTGGAGCTAAACCCCTTTCAGCAGATCCATCGGATATGCAGTAGCTCCCATGGAGCTAAAGGAAAGAGAAGATACAATGTGTTTAGACACCAGGTGCACAAGAGATACGCTGCTGCTGAATAAATGCCCAATCATTCTCAAATATCTGCTCCATCCCTTTTTAATTGACTTAAATTATTTGTACTCACCTTGCAAATAAGTTCCCCCTGGAATCCTCCAGCAACTAGCAACTTATCTTTTACCGCAAGAGTACTAACTTGAGTCTGCGAAAATCCCTCCAAGAGACTTCCAGGATGTTTCTATATGGGAAGAATAAAAGGATCAGTTCCAATAAAAACTTGATATGTTGAACAAAGTATCTAGAAAACACTCACCTCTGATGGTGCCACATGCCCTGAAACATTGAGAACCTCAGACTTTGTGCAACTTAATGAAGACCAATGAATGACAGAAAAATGTGACATAAGGTACACATCATGCTTGGAAGTAGCCCAGACCAAGTTACGCAACTGCATCACCAACATATAAGGAACATCAGTCAAACAACCCACATCAAGGGGCTACAATATGGAAAAGTGTGCCAAAGTTAGGGGCTGTGCTAATAATACCAAAACGCCAAAACCCGTCAAGAGTAACAAGGCAAGCCCCGGGTTGCTTGCTTGTGTGTAGGTAGATTGAAAGAATTTTGATAATTGGCTAATTATTTAATTTCAAGAATTTTGGCTTATGACTCAAGGACTTTGGTGTTTTCTCTTGCAACTTTTGAAACCGTTCATAATGCATTTTAAATGGGATGGCTAATCAGGTGAAATGCTTGCCAAACAACCAGCATAGGTAAGAATATTAGGTGCATCTCCCATAAACTCTTTCTATCAATGCAAGAACTAGCTATTTCAATAACCTGTTGTTCTGTGAGCTTGTTTAATTCAATGTTGGATTGTAATTATTATCACACTATTGCCCCTGAATTTTCCATCTCTGTAGATAACAAGTGTTGCACAATCCATAATTGAGTGGAAAGAGTAACGAAAACTAATTTATACGAGGTAATTAACCTAGTAAGTAATCAAAGAGGTAGAATATAGCTGTTGTTGTAGTGTGACAAAATTTCATCGAAAGATTCACAATATGCAGAAAATAGACATGAAGGCAGACTTGCCCTTAGCACACCTGGAAATGAAGAATGGTTGATTTCACTGATCTAGCATTTCTTCTGAACTCATAATATAAAGATCCTTTCTTTGTATCTTTGCCATCCTGTTTGCCAAAGAGAAAAGAATCATGATCAAGTTACTCTTAGTAGTCAAAACTGACAATTCCACATCACTGAATAAATTTGATAACGTCTAAAAGAAAATGGAAACAGTAATCTTTACCTTCCCTGACCCTTCTCCAGAATTAGGAATGTTTTCATAATTCTTGTATTGTTCTAACCTAGTTTGGCGGTATTTTTCTCTAGTAATGCTAAGTCTATCCCAAGGAATACCTTGGATGTCTTTTCCTTTTCTTGCTTGAGCAGCAGTTGTATCAGCTGCTTTGCTATTCTGCATGAGGTCCATAGAATTATTCATATTTATTAAAAAAAATAACCACAGAGAAACTTGAAACATACGACACCATAAAAAATTCTAATAATGTGAACACAGACCCATATCACAAAGGGGAGTAAGATTATAAATAACAATATCTACTGAAGCTGTGAATATGTCATATATCTCATAAAGCAATAGGTATGTCACAAACCAAGTAGTCATATTCATCAACATCAGAATCTGAGCCGCCCATTTCTCTACCACGAAACTCGTCATCCATATCATCATCTACATCTTCCATTTCGTATTCATCTTCCATGTACCCAGCGTAATGGGACATATTTTTCCTAACAATGCCACAACTAGCACCAATAGAATTCGAGCCAGTTACTTAAGAATCAGGAAAGAAGCAAAATAAATGAACCTTGCAAACACAAAAGTGAAAAGTCTGAACCAGTAACTTAACGAATAAATTACTCATGTTATTGTGCCATTGCTAAAAACTAGGAATAAGATAATCAAGAAAAGGATCACCACTAAATAACAGAAACATGCCTAATGGAGTAATTCATATGGGAGTGGCTGCAGTACACAAGTCGTTCATGGAGTACTTAATGTAATTTATCTAAACATATCACAGGGCATGCGAGCTTGACTACAATACGTGAGTCCCTGAGTTAATGTTCAATTTAATTGGATATCATAAATATGTGGCACTCAGTGTCTCAAACTGCACAAAACTCACCGACCGTTATGGGCTATAGCAATACAAGTTCTGTCCAATCCAAGAAAAAGGAGTCTGTAAAGGCTGATATAAAATTCAATGTCAAAAGTAACAATCAAGCATCCAAACATGAATCTCATCCTTGATCTTTGAAGGGAGTAAAACACTTGATAACACCATCTAAAGGTAGCTCATTGGGGAATATAACCAGCATTGCAAAATTATTTCTTAGTACCAAAAATTGAAACTTTAATTTTGAAGGCATCAATTAGTAAAACATAAGTTTGAAGGCATCAACTTGACAGAACCCTCAGCTCCTTAATTTTTATTTTTATTTTTATCTTCCCATTTTCTTCCTTCCCCTTGAGCTAAAAAATCTAGTTTAAATACTCACCATTGCACGTAAAACAAGCAAATGAAAATTCATGATTCCCCCTGGTTGGAGCAAATTGATTGTAGATGTGTTGTTAATTAACACATGCATCGGGCAAATAAAAAGATTTCTTTACCAAAACCCTAATTAGAAAGTAAAAAGGGTTAAGAATCCCAAATTGTAGTTGCACTCAGAAATCAATTAAAAAGATACATAAAATCGAAAAATTAAAAATCAAAAGAACAAAAAACAAAAAGCAGGAATTCTGAAAACTGTCGCACCACACGACGATCAACAAGCTTACCAAAATGCCAAAAAAAGAAAAAGAAATTGGGGGGTTAACAAAGACAAAACAGACAAACCCAAGAATTGAACACAAAAAAGAAAGCAATCGGAAAAAAATATACATAACAAGAAGATTGATACTCACGCAAAGAGAAGAACACAACAATAATAAAAATGAAAAATTCACCTCTCGTAATTTCGGGAATTAAGAAGTTTGGAAGGAGCTGCTGTTCGGATCTGGAAATCCCCAAATTGAGAAATTGAATCCCAACCCTAACTAAGAAATTCAGATCGGAGGAGAAGAGAGAAGAGAGATAGAGATGGAGGTAGGAGGGGGGGGGGAAGAAAAAGTGTGTGCGAATTTTATCTCTATCCACTGGTTTTCGGATTGTCGTGCGAATGAGAAAGAAAGGTTGAAGGGAACCTTGCGAAAAGGACGTGCTTGTTTTTTTTTGGTGGTTGTTCGTATGTGTAAGTATTTGAGTGTCGTATTTATTTGTTTTAATTTTCAGATTTGTGTCAATTTTTAAGTCGGTTACATATTTCTACAGATGTTGGCTTTCTATTTTTGGACTTCGGCTGCACCCAAAATACAAACCCCAATTGTCAGTCGAATTCCAAAATTTAGGGTCCAGCCCAATTGCTTTTATGCCCCATTTCCTTCGCATTCCGATTCTCAAATTGACCAAAATACAAGACCTCTCTCACGTCATATCGCTAAAAGAGATGTTGGAAGAGTGAAGGCCAACTAAAATTAGAGACCATCATCCAAGTGATTGAGAAAGATGCTATGGAATTGACACTCATATTTGAGTAAGAACATTAAAAGTGCAAGCTTGTTGTATTAGAGTAGACTTTTTTCACACACATATATATATATATATATATGTAATTAAAGGGAAATGCGAAATCATGAGCGGAATATACAACACAGTTAAAAGAAAAATGAAAAGAAATTCATTCTTAATAGTATGTTGAAAGTTGAGAAGGGTTACTATAGTGGTTGTGGCCCTCCCCCTTCCCCATGCTTGGCACTCAAGATCGAAACCCTGGAATTTCTTTCTTTACAATGTAATAAAAAAAAGAAGCGAATACCAAATAAATTGTCAATTCTTTAGGATTTATAACGTTTTCATAGACTAACGTCTCAACATACAAATGAACTATAAAAGAAAACAGTATAACATATTAACCACATATTTATACAATATTACAATTATATTAGATAGGGGGTTTCCGAAGTTTCTCCAAATGAGCCAACCCTTGTGAGCTCATTATCTGCCTGTGCTCATTTGGGAGCTTTAGACCAAGGGAAATGGATACGTGCATATGCTGATAAAATTGGAGCTAAGATTAGTGTAACTCTTGGAACTGCTCTTATAGACACGTATGTCAAATGTGGCAGCATTGAAAACGGTGCCTATGAAGTCTTTAAGAGGATGGCACACAGGGACATAGTTTCTTGGGGGCTTATTATTTATGATTTTGCCATACATGGGCAAGCTGAAATGTGCTTTGAGTTGTTTGATGACATGATTGCCACTGGAACTTATCCGAATGAAATTATTTATGCGGCTAATTTGTCTGCTTGCTCCCATGCCGGCAATGTTGAAATGGGATATCATGATCTTTTATTTTATGAAATGGTGCATGAGTATGGGATAAGACCATACATTGAACATTATGGATGCATGAGAACGGGATAAGACCTTCTTGGCCGTGCCGGGCAGCTGTATGACGCGGAATAACTCATCATGTCATTGCTGGAAAAGCCTAATTAGGAGAGGGAACCTTGCTTTCAAGCACAACTTGAGCCAATATGTTTGATGGCAGATATAAACTTGCAGGGCTTATGTTCGATATGGCTGGGAGAAAAGGAAACTGCAAGTAAAATTTGGAAGCTCATCGGAGAAAATGACTTAGAGACAACTTGTAGACTAAGCTTCATTGAAATAGATGGCGTGGTCCATGAGTTTGAAGCAGTTACTATTACTCATAGCAAGCACAATGAAATCTACAAGATGTGGGGGGAAGGACAGTAATAGAATTTTAGACACAGATGAAATTGAAGTTAGAACTCCAATTACTGCAGCAACTCTTTTATGTGGTGATTTTCGGATAGTAAAAAGTAAAAGGCAGTGATTAAACTAGGGCCCATTCATTAGGCTCATTCATTAAACTTGACTGCATAAGTGAGTTAAACTATTGAGAGACAAGGGAATGAAAGTTAAACTCTCACCTTAGATTTAGCACTCCAGTACACAACCAAACAAAGAAATAAAAAAGAAAACCGTAAAATACCTCTCATCGTATAAAGAGCATTTGAAAGAGTATATGGAAGCACTAAAAGTAGTCTTCGTGTGACATTTCCAGTAGTCAAGAAGAAAATTTCACTACTTGTGCTCCAAGGAATTTCATTAACCTGGACAAGAAGAAGAATGCTCAAAAGTATTTGAGGTACAGAGACAAATAATATAAACAGGATTTATCAGCATCCCTTGTATTACGATGAAGCAACTCTGTGTAAGGATCAGAAAAATCATCTATGGACAAGTTACATGTGAGAAAAAAAAAAAAAAAAAAAAAAATCATCGGGGATATAGACATTTCTACAAAAAAATTTAAAAAAACTCATGTTCATTGAAAAAAATTATTTCTTGATAATTTCATAACTTTTACGGCTTCAACATCAGCAACACATCATAGTGGCGTGCCAATATGTCTTGGTAATTTTAAGTGGAAAAAACCAATTCATTTCAGATATAACACCTGGCCAACATAAGTATACAAAATGGTTTATGAAAAAATATATATATATATGTGTGTGTGTGTGTGTGTGTGAAGAGAAGAAAGATAACTTAACATATTGTGATTTGTGTTCTACAAGCAATCGTTCTTAAGGTCAATTTCTAAGGTTACATTTGCATATCATACAGAATTGAAGACTTCTCAAGGTTGAGTAACAAAGCTTTTCTAAAAGCCTTGTGCTGATGAGACATCAATAGCCTAAAACTCATATAGAACATGCAATATACAAGGGGGAAACTAGAAAGAAGCATCCCTTTCGATAATTACCTCATAATTGAACTTTCGCTTGTGAATGGGCTTAAATTTCCGAACATCCATCATCCTGCATTGTAAGGAGGGGCAAAAATCAGCATAAGAACAGCAACACCAGAATATGGAACAGCAAAACATAGCTATTAGCTATTGACACCCACTACTCATAATTCAACAAAATTAAGTTATTCACAATCAGAAAATTCAATGAACTTATTCACAAGCAGAAAATTCACAAACTCATACAAAAGAGGTTGAGCACAAGTAAACATTACCCTATTACCAGCCGCGATGTGCGTCCCATCAGGTTTATAGGTGATGTTAATGTTCTGCTAGCTGCGCACATTTTCCACCTGAAGTACCCAGATGGATATAACATCAAATTCCAATCTTTGTACCTGAAAAATTGAAACTTGAAAGAGAAATGACTTACTACGAGCATCCCATAGACGAACTCTCGTCTCCAGAGGCAGTGGCAATCAAATCAGCATGCTTGGGTCCCAACACAGCTGATCCACACTATAAGTACGCCCCTTCAATTCAATATCTTTAACCTTACCCTGTGACATATATACACAAATATTCCCTCATTACATAGAATTATAATAAATTTATTGGGAAATAATAATGAATTTTATTGGAACAGCTGAACTTACATGTCCGTGGGGCTCAATGTGCCAAACCCTAGCGGTTTGATCTACAGAGCCCGATGCGAGCTTCGTGCCCGTGCAGTTCCAAGCCACAGAATGCACCTTTTCACAATGACACATACAAAATTTAGCATATTGAAAATGGAGAGCAAGAGATTAGGGTTTTGTGGAGGTTGAAATTGGATTAAAAAATGTAACAGATAGAAAGAGAGGACCTTCTTCTTATGACCCGGGTACTCTCTGCTAGTGAGATTCTTAAAAAGGGTACTGTGGTTTCCTCCATCTCTGTCATTCTTTGAGTTTCAGTTCAAATTTTGAGAGAGCGATGGAGTGAGAAAGTTTTACTTTTCGCTGTTATCAATAGCGGGAAGAGAATCAATCCCTCCATAACTGAATGCTCACCAAAGTTCACATCTTTTTTTCTTCTCTCTTTTCTTTTTGGACTGAGCCCATGTTGAGATCCCAAATTTGGCCTTAGCCCAACCCATATGATATCAAACCCTCCATCAGTCCACTGTTATTAAAAATAAAAATAAAAACTTTTTAAAGTAATTTTGTAAAACATTTATCCTTTGTATAGTAATGAAAAATCATAACTTTGGGGAAACAAAGTTGATCTTACCTTTATTTTTTGATATATGCCCCCTGGATGAGCAATAGATAATTAGCAGTAATTATAGTAAACAGTTGTATGGATGTGTTCTTAAGCCCTAGAATGCCTTATGTTTTAATGTGAGTGGTGCTCATGGTAGGTTGGTAGCTATGTAACACCCCGACCCTGATTTATTTATAAAATTAAATTATGAAATTAATTTAAATATGAATTTACAATTTTGCCTTCAAGGTAGGGGTAATTTGGTCACTTTTTAATCCGGAAAGATTTTGGAGAAATGAGTAGAACCATTACATAGAGCTCGTCGAGACGAGTTCGTCGACATGTGGCACGCCCAATTCCGAGTTGTAACGAAGGAGGAAAAGTCTGAAAACAAAAAGGACGCAAATGTAATTTTAAACGTTGTTACTGTAGCAAACAGTACCTTGCTACTACTGGGCAGTTTTAAATTTTCTTTTTCTTCTTCTTCCTCCCTCTCCCTCTCCCTCTCCCTCTCCTTTCGCAAGAGGCAGGCCCGCCCCCCCCCCCCCCCCCCCCCCCCCCCCCCCCCTCGGTCACTCACGCCTCCCCCCCCTCCCCCCCCCCCCGCCCGGCCATTGGGGGGGTTGGGGCCACAGCCAGGCCACCAAATCCCGCCGGTCAGACCCTGGGGCCCAAAATGACCGGCTGGTCTTCCTCTTCCAACCCCAGCCAAGCCCCGCTGCCTGACGCCGTGTTTTCGTCGGAAAATCGAAGAGAAACGGCCGGTTTTTCGCTTGAATTTCTCCGACTTCGTTCTCCGTCATCCGGCCACCAATTCCGGCGAGTGAGGTATGCTTTCTCACCTATTTTTCATGATCTAGCTGATGTTTGGGTAGGATTTCAGAAATTTTAAGCGTTGATAGATCAATTTTCGAATCTATGTTTGGCCGGATTTCGGGATGAAATTCCGGCCACTTCCGGTCACTTTTTGGGGTAGGCCCAAGAACAAAAGTGTCTCCAATTGATGTCCTGGACTTAGGATAGGAGTATTGGTCCGATATTTTGAGGTCTTTCCGGCGAGTGGTATCACTTTGGACACCCACGCGCTGCCGGCGCGTGTAGCGGCGCGTGGGCACTGTAGCAGAGGGGCATTGTGTCCCCATGCGATCCCCTTGTTGTAACGAGCGCGTAGGTGTGCTCGGATTTCAATTTGGATACCGTTTGAGTCTCGAACGGATTTCGCCTATTGTACGTTATCCGGGTTCTATAGGTTTCAACCGTTGGATCGTCTTGAATTTAATGCATGTTAATCTGGACATCCCTAGGAGTAGTGAAGGGAGATATTGTTATCAGGAGCTAGATCCAATGGATGTGCGTACATCAGCTAGCTCCTGATATTGTTAATCTGGACATCCATTAATGCATGTTAATCTGGACATCCCCATGAATTTAATGCATGTTAATCAAATTCATACGCAACCACGAATGTGGATGTGCGTACACACTTGTTGGCATGTGTCCTTTTTGTGTGTACGGAACTGAAGTTGTATTGTCTGACAATATATAGGTGCAATTTTCAATCCAGGAGATGAAAAGGAGGAACAAAGATAAGTTAATGGAGGAAGCCCCCAAGTGTTGAAGCTGTTGAATTTGGAAATGAACATTTTCAGCAACATTTGCATATGTCTGAGGTGAGCGAACGAGTTTTCCCCAATCAGATTTCATGACCACCAAAAACCAACCCATATTGCATGTTTTTCTTTATTCTAGAGAATGACCAACCTCTTAGATACTCTTTGAAAAAACGGTCAACTTCTTAGTTACTGTTTTTTTTTCTTCTTATTGTTATATTGTTTAAAGCATGCCATTTGTTCTGAACATATATTATTGATTTTTTATTGGTGTTTGTTTTTGTAGATATTACCATCCTTCTAATTGTAGTTGTAGCACTAATGTATTTGTACATTTTCTGCTTTATTTGGTAGTGTTATTCTAGAAATGCCTAATGCAACAATTGTAAGAATCTACTTGCATGATATGACATCTTTTCTTTTTATCATCTCTTATTACAAAAAGACAAGTAAAAGTAGATAGGTTGACTAGTATCTAGGAAGTGGACTCCATGCGACATCTCCAATGCGCAGCACATTGTGATCTTAGTATCGTCTCTTATTACGAAAACATAAGTAATAGTAGATAGACTGACTAGTATCTAGGAAGTGGACTTCCATGTGACATTTCCAATGCCCAACATATTTTTACCCTTGCGTATCCTTACAAATCCTTTTTCTCCATAAGTTTCTCCTCTAAAATTCTGAGCTCTCTAGTATTGTTTTCCCTTAAATATTCCATGGCCAGTTAGGCACATCACGTGGAATTCCTCACCGTATCCACAATTATAACACTAGCTCCAAACATCTTCCTCGTGTGTTAGGCATGTCCTTCCATAGAATTCTTGGGTGTCCAAGATACCCTGCAATTAAATAGAATTTGCATGAGCAACTAGAACGAGAACCCATAAGATTCAAGTTTGTATATGAGTTTTGGATATTTTTGGTGTATTTTTTGGGTATATAATTAGTCATTTTTTGTGTTTGGAATATTTATTTTAACTTATTATGCGGGCATAATCATTAACATAACTCACCCCTTTGTAAGACTCAAGTGATTCATGGGCTGCTATGCGGCACATCATTGGTAGCTTCTTATCGAGTGCCTCTTGGATGGCTTTTTCTCTGTGTATGGTGTGAAAGCCATTGAGGTAAATCCTCTTTGCAAAATACTGAAAGGAAGAAAGAAAAATTAAGAAAATGTATGAATTGACACTTTTCATAAGTTACAAAGTAATGGTTTAGTGATTGACTTATTTTTTTGGTCTTTTGGCTGAAAAAGGTCAATCCTTCTCCAAATAGACCCCTTCGCTGCACATAAGTTCTAGGGCCCTCCAAGTATGATATGGTGTGTTTGGCTCATCACCACGGCCAAGAGCTGAATCACGCTCTGTGGGGAAAGGATAATCTTTCTCCCAGTGCGACACATATACAATCCCTCAACAAAAGTTGTGGTTGCCATGGCCTGACATTGAGTTAGTGTTTGTTTTTTTTGTTTTAGTGAGAATTCAGTATTTAGGCTAAGAAAAATTGGAAAAAGGAAAAGAAAAGGGTAAGTAATTTACTTACACGTGTTACCTTGGTCCCGGATGGGACCCATTTTGGGCTTGAGGTTTATAATCTCCCTTGTTTTATTGGAGGCAAATTGTTTATGGTTCAATAGAGGACGATTAAACCCCTGTAATTCAAATAAAGAAAGGAATGAGTACCTGAATCAAATTGTATATACAAAACCAATGTTGTGGGCCTGAGTTGGGTATGCTTAAACAGATTAGTTAAACATAGATGTGAAGTTTTAGTTTCATATTTCATCAGATCATTGAGTTATAATGCGGGGTAACTCAATGATTTGATGAAATGTGAAACTGAAACTTCCTATTTGTGTTTAACTTATCTGTTTAAGCAGACCCAACTCATGCCCACAACATTGATTTTGTATATACAATTTGATTCATGTACTCATTCCTTTCTTTATTTGAATTACAGGGGTTTAATTGTCCTCTATTGAACCACAAACGATTTGCCTCCAATAAGACAAGGGAGATTATAAACCTCAAGCCCAAAATGGGTCCCATCCGGGACCAAGGTAACACGTGTAAGTAAATTACTTACCTTTTTCTTTTCCCTTTTCCAATTTTTCTTAGCATAAATATTAAATTCTCACTAAAACAAAAAACCAAACACTAGCTCAATGTTGGGCCATGACAGCCATAACTTTTTGTTGAGGGATTGTATAGGTGTCGCACGGGGATAAGGATTATCTTTTCCCCACAGAGCGTGATTCAGCTATTGGCCGTGGTGATGAGCCGAACACACCATATCATACTTGGAGAGCCCTAGAACTTATGTGCAGCGAGGGGGTCTATTTGGAGAAGGATTGACATTTTTCAGCCAAAAGACCAAGAAACGTAAGTCAATCACTAAACCATTACTTTGTAACTTATGAAAAGTGTCAATTCATACATTTTCTTCATTTTTCTTTCTTTCTTTCAGTATTTTGAAAAGAGAATTTACTTCTATGGTTTTCAGACCATACACGGAGAAAAAGCCATCCAAGAGGCACTCGATAAGAAGCTGCCAGTGATGTGCTGCATAGCAGCCTATGAATCACTTGCGTCTTACAAAGGGGTGAGTTATGTTAATGATTATGCCTGCATAATAAGTTAAAATAAATATTCTAAACACAAAAAATGACTAATTATATATCCAAAAAGTACACCAAAAATATCTAGAACTCATATGCAAACTTGAATATTATGGGTTCTCGTTCTAGTTGCTCATGCAAATTCTATTTAATTACAGGGTATCTTGGACACCCAAGAATTCTATGGAAGGACATGCCTGACACGCGAGGAAGATGTTTGGAGCTGGTGTTATAATTGTGGATACGATGAGGGATTCCACGTGATGTGCCTAACTGGCCATGGAATATTTAAGGAAAAATAATACTAGATAGCCCAGAATTCTGGAGGAGAAATTTATGGAGAAAAAGGATTTGTAAGGATACGCAAGGGTAAAAATGTGTTGGGCATTGGAAATGTCCCATGGGAGTCCACTTCCTAGATACTAGTCGGCCTATCTACTATTATTACTTATGTTTTTGTAATAAGAGACGATACTAAGATCACAATGTGCTGCGCATTGGAGATGTCGCATGGAGTCCACTTCCTAGATATTAGTCAGCCTATCTACTTTTACTTGTCTTTTTGTAATAAGAGAGGATAAAAAGAAAAGATGTCATATCATGCAAGAAGATTCTTACAGTTGTTGCATTAGGCGTTTCTAGAATAACACTACCAAATATAGCAGAAAATGTACGAATATATCAGTGCTATAACTACCATTAGAAGGATGGTAATATCTACAAACACCAATAAAAAATCAATAATATATGTTCAGAACAAATAACATGCTTTAAACAATATAACAATAAGAAGAAAAGTACCTAAGAGGTTGGCCATTCTCTAGAAAAACATGCAATATGGGTTGGTTTTTTATGGTCATGGAATTTGATTGGGGAAACTCATTCACTCACCTCAGACATATGGAAATATTGCTGAATGCTCTAGGTTGTCTGTAGAAATGGGACTCAAATCAGAAATAGCTTTGCAGTGGTTAGGCGATTAATCATCGGGAATGGACGATGTTGGAGCAGAAAATTTCGGGCCCTCCAACAATTAATATGATTTCCATGTTGAGAAGTCGGACACCATTTCGATTGCCACTAGTGAGAGGAAGGGGGTACCTGCAAGAAAACACTCCGACGCTCAAATTAGTAAAAGTATAATAGCAGGAGAGTTTAGAATAGTATTGTATATGATTTTCTCCTCCCCTTGGGATGATGTGTTAATTGGCCTTTTATAGGCAGTGGTATCTTGGGCTCTAACTCCCACATTCCTTAATTTTCTCCATGAATCAGGATAATGTATGTAATGTTACTCGATTTTCTCCATTCTCCCAAGTTTAGGATGCGTGAGTAGTGGGTTATTGCTTATGGAGTAAAATTTGCTCCATACATACCTCTTTTTCTCTCTTCAGACACGTTTCGTTCTCAGGTGTGGAGAGAGATTATTTATTGTGGGAATTCATTCCATGTGAGATTTCAAAAGGTATCAAGTAATATAATAAATACATTTGTTAATTAAGGAACATGAGGAAATATAAATTTTGGAATTTAGAAGCAAACTAATGATAAGTCCATAAATTTACACATTTATGTACTCTTTATACTTAGTTTTTGTAGGAGAATTTGATTTAAAAAGGACTTATTACTTTATTTTCTCAATTTTTCAGCTTTCCATAGCAAGTAATTTGTTTTCAACGGAAATACGACTTTTTGGTGGAGTTTTAGTACAAGACCAATTGGAGATGAAAGCTTAGACCTTGAAGATGATTGTGGAATTTTTCTAGAATTTTCAGAGTAGCCAATGAGAGCAGTCTTTGAAGTTAAGTCAGCATAAGGTGCAACCCCGTCAAAACTGTGTTGTTGTGGAAGAATGACTATTTGAAGACTTTCTTGATTTTTCCTTAAGGCGTACAATATATGGCTGGAAAGAGAAGACAAAAATCTACAATTTACATATTTTTGCCGAATTTTCTTGGAGGAGGAACAACCCAAACGTCCCTGCAAAGTAACTGACGTATTATCCCAGTCCAAGTAGGAAGAGGAGTTAACTACTTACCCATTTTGGATTTGTGTTTTAATTAGGTTTTTCTTTATTTTTGGGCTGCTGTAAAAGCCCAGCTAGGGTAGGAATAGACGTGGGGTATTTTATTTAAGCATGAGAAACAACTCCCTGAAGGAGATATGCAAAGACTAGGAGAAATTGGAGACACCGGAAGAGTACTGCAATTGGCTAAGTTTGATTGTTTCTTCCTTATGTTTTTGCTTATGTCGAATTCTATGATGATGTGTAACTAAGTTTCTTTTGCTAGGGTATGATGTAGCCCTAGTATGATGATCTAGTTTTCTTATTTTACCTATCTATTGATTGCCGTTTGATGTTGGATTCTTGATATCTGTGCTTAATACTTGTTTCTTATCTTGATGTTTGATCACCATCTAGACTTTTAATTGAGTTAATCGGATGCAAATTAGAGTAAATACCATACTTAATTTGAGGCTTGCTTCTTGTGATTAGGATTTTTAATTCGTCTAGGGTAAATACCATACACCTAGGGTTTACATGCTTGTTCGAGGTTTTCAATGATCTTAATGAATTTCTATGTGTTGATATTGACCTAAATACCATAGGCGAATTGCATGTAGGAACATACGAGTTAGCCTAAATACCATAGGTAATTCATGAAAAAAAAAGAACTAAGTGGCGACATCAAATGGTTAGTTAATAGTTAATAGGTAGGTGAATAATAGGCTAGATCGGATTACTAGTGGTGAATTCATTGTCCTTGTGCTTTTATCAATTTGAATTTCTCATCCTTGTGTTTCGTGACTTTCTACTTGTTTTGTCTTTTAATTTCGTTGTTAATTAAATCATTCTTTCAAAAACCCCTTTCGTATTTATGTGAGTATGCTACGTGTTTAATTTCTTGTTTATATAATTAGAGTTGTTGAAGTATTTTGTGAAGCAAATTAGGTTAGACTAATTGGTAATTGAACTCAATCCTCGTGGGAATGACCTTGTATTTGCCATACTATATTACGATTGACCTTGTGCACTTGCGAGTATAATTTGTGTTTAGACTAATCTTTATAATCTCCATTTTTCAGGTTGTCTAAAATTCACAACAACTAAGTTTATTACCTTTTGACCACGACTAAGCAAAGATTTATGAGTAAAGCATCGCCTCGAGAAATCATTTATCCACAAGTCTTTGAGTTGTGATATGCATTGCAAATTTGGTGAACTTTGGTTGGGATCAGCAAAGGATCCAATTCATTAGGATCAAATAAGGATCCGATTGATGGACCCGAGAGGATTGATAACTTCGAGATTATGTAAGGCTTGGCATGGATCCGATTGATGGTCCCGAGAGGATTGATAACCCCAGGGTCATGTAGGGATCGACATGGACCCAATTGATCGCCCCCAGAGGATTGGTAACCTTAGGGTGATGTTGGGATCAGCATGGATCTAATTAATTGCCCCCAGGGGATTGGTAACCCCCAGGGTGATATAGGGATTGACATGGACCCAATTGATCGCCCTAAAAGGATTAATAACCTCAAGGTGATGTTGGGATCAACATGGATCCAATTGATCGCCCTAAGAGGATTAGTAACCTCAAGGTGATGTTGGGATCAACATGGATCCAATTGACTGCCCCTAGGGGATTGGTAACCCTCAGGGTAATGTAGGGATCGGCATGGATCTAATTGACTGCCCCCAAGGGATTGGTAACCCCTAAGGTGATGTTGGGATCGACATGAATCCAATTGACTGCCCCTAGTGTGATATAGAGATTGGCATGGACCTAATTGATCGCCCCTAGAGGATTGGTAATCTCAAGATGACGTTGGGATCGACATGGATCTAATTGATTGCTCCCAAGGGATTGGTAACCCCCAAGATGATGTTGGGATTGGCATGGATCCAATGATATTGTTAAAATTGATATGAACCAAGATGGTTTGTGGAGTTTTGAAGCATACCATACTTGTTGTGCTTTGATAATGACTATGTCGTTGCCCAAGCACCACGTCATGGAGCATGTTGGCTTTGGTACACACCTCTTCTTTCTTCAATTTATCATCAACTCTGTTAGTTGAGTTTTGTTGGTCTTTGAATTAAAATTTGGATTTGCTTCCAGTTTGCAAACCTTGTGTGACGTTCCCATTACACCTGCCTATGTCACGTTGAGTTTCAAATCTTATAAACATATTTTTGTCAATTATCAAAATCATAAATTGGGGTGACTAAAGAGGCATAGAATATAATTTTCTTAGATTTATAATCAGTTTTCTTGCAAATTGGAAAATGAATATAAAAATGAGACATTTAAAAGGTCTTCCACGAGATGAACAATTAATTCTTGCAGGATTCAAATTGGGTGCGTAAGCACTTGATGAATATACGATTATCAATGCATTAGTGTAGAAAAACATTGCAATAAGAATTTCAAGAAATATAATAGTTGAGCTAGTCCATATGAGTAGACAATATAAGCTAACTATATTGAAAAGATAACCAAGAATTATTAGAACATAACTTTCATGATAGACTTAAGCAATAATATATGTAGCTGAGAGAGTAAACCATTGCATTGGCAAATATTTGACAGAAGAAGTTGTTCACATAGCTAAAATCATATGGAAATCTTCTAAAAAGAAACGCAATCAGAGTAAAGCATATTTCGATTGGAGACCAGCCAAGTTACTTGCACTAGGCATCATGAAAAAATTGTTTTATAGCTTACTGTGGCAATTAGTAGCATTCATTCAACTATAATTGTTTTGAGGCAAACATGTCTCCAGGCAAAGTAAATTGACCATAGGCGTACTTTGAGCATCTTTCAATGAATGTAAAGGTTTCATTGTAGTTTAACTTTACATGCCTCCAGGCAAAGTTAAACTACATCTGACATAGACATCTAATTTGTATGCACATAAGTGAAATAATAGGACATGTCTGATAATGATCATTAGAAACGTGTAAAATTGTTCCTAATTTAGTATTATGTAAAAGTCAAAGTGGATGGGTTTAGATGATTTCTTATCTTGCTTTGAGAGAAGTTGAGGGAGTGGCTGCTTTGTTCAATAATTCAGGGTTGAAATGATTTTCCTTCCTTTCTAAGCACTGCATCTATAGGAACCTGTTTTCTTTTGCAACAAGCTTCGTGATACGACATTTTGGACATCACCCATGCCTTTTCTGCTAATTGTATCAATTAGAGACTAATTCAACCAAAATTCCAGGGAAGCACAGATGCCCCCAGCACACAATATTTAGCAATATACAGCCAGCATCGCTCAGAAACTTGTAGCCTTAACAATAAGAAAGAATGATTGCATGTCTTCCAATAAATCAATAAAATAAATAAATAAAAATTGATACCAATATTTGGAAAACTTAAAAATCGTGAAGAAGTTTTAGAAGAAATTGTCTTGTTAAATTCCAGAGCCGTGAGGGATTATACATTCCCTTTGTTACTTTTCCCTTTTATTCTTTATCAGAGACCTAAGAAATCCCATTAAAGCCACAAACGCAAAGGAAAACAATAGTAGCGAACGCCAATTCGTGAAATCCTAAAAAGAGAGTTTAGAAATTCTTCTCTATTCGGGGGATTAGACTCGTGCCCCCATTGTAGCACGGGTGAGACTTCAATCACACAGTGTCCATTGCTTCTCAAGGTGACTTTTCGTACGTTTCCCACAGATGGCGCCAACTGTTGGAGCAGAAAATTTGGGTCCTCCAACAATTAATATGATTTCCATGTTGAGAAGTCGGACACCATTTCGATTGCCACTAGTGAGAGGAGGGGGTACTTGTAAGAAAACACTCCGATGCTCAAGTCAGTAAAAGTATAATCACATGAGATTTTAGAATAGTAATGTGGAATTCTTGTCTAACTTACTGCATTTCTTTTTATAACATGTGGCGGGCTGCATTGCAAATATTTCATCTGTCTTTCATCTATTGGATGGTACACCAGCCACATAGTGTACCCGGAACACCCAAAAATTACTCCAAGTTTAGGATGCATGAGTAGTGGGTTATTGCTTATGGAGTAAAATTTGCTTCCACACACGATTGATAGGTTTCCGGAAGGTAAGAACATATCGTTCCAAGCTTGGGGCGATTGATCGTCGATGTTGGATGATCGATCATTTCTTGGCCGAGAGAAGCCCCATGCTCCAGACCTCGTGGCGATCGATCGTTAGAGGTAGGACGATCGATCGCTTCTGTGCAGACGTGAAGTTCTTCTTCTCCCAAGTTGTTCCAATTATGCGCTTTACTTCGTATCTCTCCCTAAAGCATAGAATTGGATGTTGGGTCATGGAAAAACATCTCAGATTCCAGAGAGGTCACATCCAAAGTGATAGGTATGCCAGGTATGAGAGTGATAACATCAGTAGCCTTTTTTTATGAGTGGCATAGCCCGTAAAAACACAACGACATGCAACGCTGATTTTTTTGGAGATGAACAGGGCCCCTATCCTGTTGAACCAGTTGGCCCTGATTGAGGAGCACTCTTGGCCACTAAACCAGTGTTGGTGGGTGTGGACGAACCCATCATCACAGCTTATCAAACTTCTCATGACGGACATAGGCATAGGCTTGGTCCACGATGGGAAACAGAGTCATCTAAACAACATCAATTTGGGCCTTATCAAGACGATCATCTAGGCCATCCAAAAATATGTAAACTCATTCCTGCATAATATCATTATATCGCTTGATATCACATTCATATTCCATCATATTGGGACGACGGAAATCAATCTATCTCCACAAGTTTTGGAGAGTATTGTAGTAGGTTTCAGTAGAGCCATTGGCTTGTACGAAAGACTCGTCGTTTCAGATCATACACCTGAGAGGTATTAGTGTCATCATAGTAGGTCGTGACAATTGCGCATCCCACACTAATTTTGCCGTTGGAAAGTGAATGAAATTGCCAATCAAGGTCTACTCCAAAGAATTAATGAGCCATCATTTCAAAATCGAGTTCTTGGTTCCCATCGGGTAAACGTTGGAGTGGTCGGAGGAGGTTGTGGAAGATCTCTATTAATATATCCCAATTTGTCTTTGTTGGTAATATACATCTGGACAACTTGGGACCATGGGGCATAGTTGGTGCAATCCAATTGTTCAACTACATTATTGAATGAAATCTTCACTTTGCAGCGTGGTCTCCTCAACTCATCGTCTTCAAAGAAGGCGCAGCAGCATGCAACTGCACCAAGCCCAGTTCTATGATTTATAAATCACGATAGTGGAAATTTTTCATAAGAACTCATCTAAGCTAAAATGGAAATTTAGGATTTACGTTAGGGTTTAGGACGAATTTAGGGCTTTCTCTTTGATCTCCAACTGAAGTTGAGGATGAACGACAGTTTGGGGCTTTTTCGAGTTGGGTCCCACGGGTGCCACGTCTGCAGTAAATGATTGACCGTCTGTTCAACTTAACAGAATGATGAAATTGGACGATGTTCAAAACATCAGGGAGTAAATTAATAAAATTGATACTATGGTGTCCAATTTGAAAATGACTCTAAACCAGCAGAGTATTTTTTGTCGGTAGCCCTATTTCTTTCTATCTCTATAGAAGTGCCAACTGCTCTTAGAGAATCTCCACCCATAAGGGCTAAGTCTAGGGCAAGGGCTGCCACTATTCACATAAATAGTGTCAGCCTTGCCATTTGTGGTTCCACCCATGAGGGCTAAGTCTATGGCAAGTCTAAGGCAAATACAATTCATTTTACTTTATTTTCTATTTTTTTTATACTTAAACTATTAATTTTGATAAGCTTTTTAGATTATATTTTCGATTGTCACGTGTCACTATTTATTATAAAATTCTCAAAAAAAATTTAAGATAACATTTTTCGGATAAAATTTCCAAATAAAATTTTCGGATAAAATTTTCGATTGCCACGTGTCCATATTTATTATAAAATTCACATCTCACTCATCATACAATTAAAATACCAACTCACTCATCATACAATTGAAATATTCTTGGTTCTCATAGTCCGATATAATGGAATACAAGGACAACTCCATCATTGGCGAAGGCGGTTCCACCGGATCATGACGTGGGGGAGTATTTTCCTTCGGAGGACGTAATAGTGCCATTATTTCTGACACAGAACGCACCACTGGAACCGACTGCGGGCATTGTTCACTTGAGGAGCCATGTGTAATGGTTTTCCTCTTTTTTGTTTTCCCTTGAATAATCTATTTTTTTTTAAAGGAAATTGGAAATGCAAGAAATATATATTTTAAAAAATGACATTAAATTGAATAAAACAGCAAAAAAAAATTTTTTTACCTCGTCGCCAAGATTTTGACCTCTTCGAACGTTTGTTCATGACCCTCCGGCTTCGATGGAAGAGGCCATTTGTATTTTTGCACAAATGGAATTTTGTAGTAGAAAATTTGGTGTGGAAAGTGAAAAATATTGGAATGAGATGAATTTGTATGAAGATTTGGTGTGAAAAGTGAATAATATTGGTAGGTATTTATAGAAAAAATTTCCATATATATTTTTTTTTGGTTGTTGATATTTTATTCAATTTTTTTAAGCTAAAAATTGGATAGCCGTTGGATTGGGCAATATTTTTTGATCGGAGGCTTCAGGAGAAGCCACGTGGCTTATAACCGTTGGGCTATGTGGATTGGTGGGTTAGCGCTGACGTCAGTTGCTGATAAAAAATTTGTAAATCAGCCACTAACGTCAGCAGTCTGAGGGCAATAGCCCATGCAGGATTAGCCCGTGAGCTTGCCCAGGTTGTTAGGACCCACCATTTGCCCAGGCTCATTGTTGCGCGCTGGAGCTGGAATGGACTGCCAGGGGGCCTTTTGCCCAGGTTTGGTGCAGCGGTGGACATGCTTTTGGTGTCTCAAAGTCTCTCACTCTTCGTAATAACCCACGACATGTCCTTTTTCTTCTCTCTACCCAAGGTGTGTTTAACACACTACACTAGTCAGACTATATATTTAAGCCAAAATGGCTTCTCCGATAAGCGAATGCTTTCAAGGTGACGTGGCCAAGTAAATAATCACAGCTTAATTTAAGCCAACGAGTCAACAGTCGCCTTGGGACCCACCCCATTAACTGATTAATCATTCCACGTAGAACATCTGAAGGGTATTTTGGGACAAAATTCGAAAAAATATTAGTGAAAAAATCCACTCCCAAATTTTCACGTGTTCCAAGGCCAACTTTATCGAATTGACTTTAGCCCACATCAGTCATCGTCAACCTCAAATTTAACTTAACACCTAAAAGTCCATACTTGGGAGGTGCAATTTCTCCAGGCGCTGTGATTTGGAAAGCGTGAGACGACGAAATGAGCTGGAATTTCCGTCCTTCAGGATGCGCGCAGCCTGTGTATGGTACGCTATTAGTCTTAATTTTTGTGATTTCAGTTATTGTGCAGTGTTTTCTAATCCTTGTCGATAAGTATCAAAAGACTATTGTTTTATAAGAATTGTCGAACATGCACGATGACGTTTTAAAGCACGGTGTGGCCAAGCCCATTAACTAGTGAGATCCTCACTCAAGCCCAATCCCCCTATTGACAGCCGATCAAGTTAATTGAAGAGCAGAGAAATTCACAGCAAGCCTCGACTCTCAGCCACCCTTCTCTGTCTTGGTAGAGTAGGTCAGGTATATTTCATCACGAATTCAATTTGGTTGATTTTCGCTCTGCTGATTTAGTGAGATATATATATGCTTCCTATTATTATGCTTCAATTGCATTCATATCATTATAATTTGATTTGATTTGATTTGATTTAGGTTTGGGGGTTAGGGTTTTGGGATTCATCTAGCATTGCATGATAGAGTTGGGAGAAGAGCAGAGGCATATGACAACAGCTATTCGGTCTGTGGTTGGAAAGTTGGGGAGTAAATACTCTTCATGTTGTCACAGCAAAGGAAGAACGGTAGCAAACATGGTTAGGGTTGGGGACTTTCAAATTAGGAGCTCAGTAGTCAGCAACTACAATATTGACCGTGATGTCTTGTTTTCAATTTCAAAGCCGCCTACTTCTTATGGTTATTCCTCTCGCCATCCTTTTCTTTTTGGTAACCACCATAAGAAAGCTCCGCCAGTTCTGCATCTGGAATATTTTAAGTGGCCCGGTGTAAGTATGATATTACCTTTTGCATCTAATGCTGAAATGATTTCTACTTTTGGTACATGTATGTATGCAATTCACTTTTATGGTCTTACTTCGCATTCTAACTCAATTATTGTCTTATTGCGTGTGCTTGTAACACTACTTTAGGGATTAGCAGGTAATCATCGTGTAGCTCCGTATTCTATGGATAATCCCAATACCATAGCTCTTGCCATTTTCGCTGTGAGAGAGTACAACAAGGAAAAGGTTTGAACATATCATATACCTCTTCCAATTTATTGAAAAAATAATTAAAATTTACTAATCGTAGTTTTTTTTTGTATTAATGTTTAATTGTTTGAACTCTACATAATGTTCTCCGTTCTCTTTTAGAATGCCAAACTGCGGCTTGTGAGAGTTTTGAGGGCATGGTACAAATGTTCTGGTGCTTCGATCTCATATTTTTTTACAATGGAGGCAGTTGATAAGGGTGTGGTTAAAGTTTTCCAAGCATTGGTTTTTTCACGTAGCTGCGAAAGGGAGCTAAGATTGTTTGGTCTTCTTAATGTTGATAACGGGAGTTTGTTAAAACTAATTGTTAAAGGACCTACAAAACCTTATGAAGGACTATCTGCGTGCATAGGTAACTATATTATGCCATTCTATATTGATTATTAATCCTTACAAATTTAATTTCTCAGATTTTTAAAAAGTCCATTAAAGTCTAGATTGGATATATTAATTTGCAGATGGCAATTCTTCTTACACATTTTTCTTCATGATATATGGTACTTTCAAATGCACTGATTGGCATGAGTGTTTCATTGTCATTTCCACAGCCCAAAGGTACATGAAGATGAAGATTCCAAGAAAGACAAGCAGAAATTGTCTTGAGGAAGAGACACTAAGCACCTTACTACACATGTCACCTCTCCGATAATATTAAGCTGCATAGATTTGACAGGGAGCTGATATTTTGGTAGGATAGGGTGGGTGGTACATCTCAGATTGTGGCCAATCTTCTTAACTTATTTTCAGGAATTTTTTGAAAATTCGATTATTTATTTTCAGAGCATTTTTAAAGGAGGAATTACTGTTCATAATAGCTTTGGGTGCAGGTGAAAAGAATTGAGCAGAGTGTTCTGATGGAGGCACTTTTAGGTTTAAGGAAGAATCAACAGATATGAGCTCTAGACGGGGTGTTACCGTAGCCCCTTGCTGGACAGTCAACGCGTTTATTTCAACGGCATGAGTGTTGAGGATTAATTTAACCATTTCATTAATTTTAAAACTTAAATTTATCCAATAGTCAAGTAAGCTGTGAGAAAAATGAACCCAAACGTATAAAATGTCTTGCAATTTGCAAACCAAACTCATGTAAATTGCATGGCATACACTTCCGCGTTTACAATACACATCTATAAAGGCATTTGCCAAAGAGACTTCCTTTGCAAAACCAAGTTTATTTAGCACAGCGTGAACTTCTTTTCTCTTTATTCAAATCCATCAAGCCAACACACTCTTTTTATTTTATTTTTTATTAAGGGGGCAAAGCCCCAAGAAACAGACTACACCAACTGGTCTAAACAGACCAATCTAGCCAACACAGACTTTAGGTGGCAAAAACGCGCACGTAAAAATGAGAAAAAGTAGAGGAGAAGGAGGAGGAGGAGGAGGAGGGAGAGGGAGGGGAGATGGAAGAGTCTAGAAAAAGTAGACGGGATTGAGAATAAGATTGACTTAAGGTGGCAAAAATAAGAGAGCAATTCCCACAAAAAAAACAAAAAAACTTAATATATTAGTACAAATAATGTTGTTTATTTATCTTGTATGTGGTTTAAGCGTGAAATCTCAACATATTTCTGAATTCAAAAACTCAAGGTACATTCCAATTCCAGTCCAACTTATACCAGAATTTTTGAATGCCGGAATTGATTTGAACTTGCCAAAATTAGAGAGTGTGAGGTGAGGCTTGATTATCCAAATGGGGTATCACGGGAAGTTAAACCAAGGCTTGATGAAGAGGCGCGTCATGGTGGTCGTTTGCTCATGACACAAGGGTGGTTAGGATGTTGGGAAGCAACGGACACAATGGTTTTCGAGCTTGTCAATGCAAGGACGGATCTATGTATTGGTTAAAAACTATTTATGACTATAATAATCTTTAAAAAAGAAATTAGTTTTGGGGGTTTTGGATATTTATTATTTTCTTATATATGTGGAGGTGGGCTCTACTTGCCACGTCACCCCTTTAATTGGTGGATAATGATCCATGTGTATGAGATTACAAAGATACCCTTGCCACATCATCATAGTTAACAGACTTTTAGAGCACGTCCAGCGCGCAACCCAAACTGGGGGAAAGGCCCCCCTGGTGAGCCCAAGCATGCTCCAGCGCGAGGGAAGAAGACTGGGTTCCAGCTGGGTCCCACCAACTCAGGTAGGCCCAAGGGCAAGTTTTGCCTGGGCTGTTGACGTCAGCAACTGATTTTCAAATTTTTTTTGTACTATTGGACCTACCAGCCCACATTGCAAGCCATGTGGCTTCTCTTAGAGCCTCCGATAAAAAAATCTTGCACAATCCAACGGTTGTCCAATTTTTGGCTAAAAAAATTGAAAAAAATATCAAAAAATTCTAGAAATTTTTTCTATACATACTACCAATATTATTCACTTTCCACACCAATTTAATTTCAAAATTTTATCCGAAAATGTTATCTTGATTTTTATGTGAGGATTTTACGATAAATATTAAACTTGGGAATTGAAAATCTTTTCCGAAAAACTTATCAAAATCAATGGTTTAAGTATAAAAAATAAAAAATAAATTTAAGTGAATAGTAATTGCCTTAGACTTTGCCATCATGGGTGGAACCACAAATGCAAAGGCTGACACTATTCACGTGAATAGTGGCAGCCCTTGCTTGCCCTTGCCTTAGACTTAGCCCTTGTGGGTGGAAGTGCTCTTAGACAGAGTTAACGGCAGGAGGCAAAGTGAGTTACCAACCCATGGTCAAGCGAGGTAAGTTAAACCAAGGCTTGATGAAGAGGCGCGTCATGGTGGTCGTTTGCTCATGACACAAGGGTGGTTAGGATGTTGGGAAGCAACGGACACAATGGTTTTTGAGCTTGTCAATGCAAGGACGGATCTATGTATTGGTTAAAAACTATTTATGACTATAATAATCTTAAAAAAGAAATTAGTTTTGTGGGGTTTGGATATTTATTATTTTCTTATATATGTGGAGGTGGGCTCTACTTGCCACATCACCCCTTTAATTGGTGGATAATGATCCATGTGTATGAGATTACAAAGATACCTTTGCCACATCATCATAGTTAACAGACTTTTAGACAGAGTTAACGGCAGGAGGCAAAGTGAGTTACCAATCCATGGTCAAGCGAGGTAAGTGGGCCACTTTAAGTTTCGGGGGGCAATGTGAGATTTGACCGTAGTTTCAAAGGATATTTGTGTAAATAAGCCTAAATTAATATCAAAACCAACTTGGGAAATATTGAATGTCTGCCAACACAAATTTTTTTTTATAAATTTTATTCTAAGTTTGGGTTTTTTCAAAAAAATTTGATATGGGCTCGCTGGGCTTGTTTTGAGTTTTTTTGGGAATTTTGTTTTGGGCTTGTTTTAAGTTAATCAGTGACAGATATATAATTTATAGGAACTTCAATACTAATTTCATATGTAGTAAATGGTTTTTGGGTGTGTTTCTAAAGTGCATTCCATGTAAGGTTTTTTTTTAATAATTCCAGCCCCTATTTTGGGTATATTACTAAAGCTCCCAAAAAAAAAGGGAGATATTTTTAGGGAGTTTCACTAAAACACCCAAAATGGGGGCTGAAATTATAAAAAAAGCAAACACCCAAAACACTTTATAAACACACCCAAAACCCATCATTACACACACTCAAAACCCATTTATAAACACACCCAAAAAATATACAATTGTTAATTTTGGGGTTGATTTTGGGTGTGTTTCTATGTTTAAATAGTGATTGGGTTTTTTTATAAATACATGTTTAGGATTGGGTTTATTTATAAATTTGTAATATTTTTATCCTAATTTTTTTTCACCTATTTTAAATAATTTCAAGCATTTTTATATTTAATTTGAATTTTAAATTGTTAAATTTATCAAAATACCCATGCCAACATCAAGTTTCAAAGGGAATTTTGAAAAAGGCCAAAAAAGAGAGAAATATTTTGAAAAGAAGCCAAAATGGACAAAAATGCCCTTATTTATTTTTGGATTTCCTAAGGATGAAAATGCCAAAATGGACAAACCTAAATTTATTATGGGGTTATCTACTCTTCCTTTTATTCTGACTGGGCTTGTATTTTGTTCAAAATACCAGTGAGGGCTCTCGTTAACGGCCTTGGGCTTACAGTAGATAAAACGGTATCGTTTTTGTTTTTAGAATGCATGAAGCGGCGATGAGAGACCTTTCTCTTTAGGGTCTAGGCGTTAATTAAGTTCACGGCCACACGCTCCTTTTCTCTGTTTCGGAGGCAGGTAGGTACAAAGAAACTCCCTTTCTGGTTTTGTTAGAGGCCATGGGCAATGGTTCGAACGGCCAGGAAGATGGGTTGATAATCGTTTCTATTATTTGTATTTTTAGATTTTCTAGCTATATATATGGCTTATTAATCAGTGTGATTTCATTGATGCCCAGGTTATGGCTGTTCGTTCTGTGCTTGGAAAGCTGGGTAGGAGTAGATTTATTCCCAACAATGGAAGACTTATCATGGGTGGGACTTCTCCTACTGTTTGTTCCTCTCCTCATCACCCTTTTGATTATTATGGGGTCGTCCATGATCAAAACAAAGCGGATCAAAAAAGCAATCCTTTTCTTCTTGGATCGCTTATGAAAGAGGTGCGTCATGCGTGTGTGTATTAATTATGTTATTGCCTTCACTTTCATTCCAATTCAATTCAAATATCAAGTGTTGATAGACTCATGATTCAATTCACAGCCAGTTTATTGTCATTTGGATTTTGGAGGACTAGGACCTGCTCGTTTCGCCATCGAAGAGTTGAGGAAGAAAAGGGTTTCATTTTTTTTGCCCATTTTTCTTAAGTACAAATGCATTACTACAATATATGCAAGATTTAGTCTTTCCTAAGAAGAGCTTCTTTATTGCTAATGGTTTTGTGGATTATTATTGACACGTTTGATATCTGTATAATGATTTGGCATCTCTTGCAGAATATTCAACTGCAGTCTGTGAGAGTGCTGAGGGTGTTAGCAAGGAAACATGTTGGCTTGCTACAATATGATTCTTACTATGATCTACTGCTGGAGGCAGTTGATGCCGATGTGATGAGATATTTCGAAGTAACAGTGTCAGTTAATTCCAGGGATGGCTTGTGGTTGGAAGACTTTTGTCTTCTCGTTGATAATAAAAGACCTATAAGATTATATCATCACCTAGGTACTATAATTATGGCATGCTGCTTTCACAATATCCTTAAGAATTTAGTATTAGTAATGTGATCATTCCAGGACTCACTTGTTACTGTAGTTTAACTATACAAACCGTCACTACAAGAAAAAGCATTAGTAGCCACTGACATCAGTCGTACAGAATGGCTAGAGGTGCTATTAGTGTCTAATATCACAATGGTCACCAATAACTGTGGCTGTTAGCTATTAGCCACTGATGTTGCCCTTTAGCCACCTCATCCTATGCAACTAATTTCAGTGACTATTAAGGGTTTTTCTTTTATTGTTGATTTTTCAAGTCTTTACTTATAGATCATCCTTGAAAAAAAAATTAGGCAAATCGTAAGCATCTAGTTGCAATGAAATAATTGACGAACATGGTTTTCTCGATTGATATTAAAATGATTACCTTCCAATCAAATAGTTATATATTTTATGATTTTTGTGATTTTGTTGCAAATATGATCTATGAGGTAAGACTTAATAATTAGAGAGTCGTGATCAAAACTCAATGCGGAGTTGGTGGGGTTAGTCTGCTAATGATATTCCTAATTATGCATATGAAGTAGTTCTTTTGGATGACAAACCCGAAAACGTGAGAATGTTGCATATTGAAGAATGAATCGAATTTTTTGCTTGAAACAGACAACTTTTTTGATGCAAATGCTAAGGCTCGAGAGCAGTTATCATTTGGTATGCGAAAAGGAAACCTCTCTCTGCTGCCTCCTTCAGCCCTCCCTCATCTCTCATACACAAACCCGGGACACAAAGAGGAAACCACCACTCCAAAACGCAGGTATTCATCAGTTATGTTTGTTGTCGTCTTATTTTTGGGTTTCCACAGTTCAGGTATTTTTTTTTTTTTAAAAAAAAACCTTATGTGTTTGATTTTGGATCTGGATTCCTCAGAGGTCGAACGAATGCATGTGAAGCGGCGAAACACTTCGGTCCAGCTCCCGGTGTACCTCAAAAGTACACCAAACCTTATGTCCGGTCAAAGAGAAGGAAGTTTGAGAAGGCTAGAGGAAAGAGGAACAATGAGGGCTTTAGAGGTTGAATCATTTAGAATTGAAAATGCTATTTGTAGAACCTAATTTTGCTGGTCTTTAGGTGTCTGGTATCATGTTTATTTATCTGTCTAGTAAATGTGTTGATGAAGGCATTGCTGTTTCAACAAGAGAGAAGCTCACTACCATCAATCTCGAAAACTATCCATGTGTATGGTTTTCTGCAACCTGAATGGCCAAAATATTTAAAATTGTGTTATTTTTTATTCTTTCGAGATGCTTAGCTGCAGCTTGCGGAAGTTGAAATTAGTGTGTTCAGAAATGTGAAAGGTGGTGTATGTGAGAGTTATGCAACTCCTAAACCCATAAAGGTGGCTCGTGTAAGTACATAGGTGAAAGATAGTAGCAGCATTAGGAAGATTTTGATTGTTTATTGAAAGTCCAATGTCTGATAAATAAAAGAAAATTTGTGGCTATGAGATTCCGTAGATCATATGATTCTTCCTGAGAATGTGTGTTTGTCTAAGTCCATCGCATATTGATTCCCTTTGTTACCATCTACTTGATACTTAGAGCCTCCTGACCACATTATAGTGCATTGCCCAGACTTAACCTTTTTGGTTTGTAGTTTGTTAAAAATGCTAGGGTATATACCATAATGCGAATTCCATCATCCTGAATCCTATTCTACTAATTAGTAGGCATTTTATAATCTCTACCAAAGTTATGATTGGCTTATCTGTTGCATCTGAAATTGTGTTGTTGAATGTCTCATAAGAGTTGTTGATGAGCATGTCACATTTCACATGTACTTTGAAGTGGGATTTAGACCACTGTTGTGGAGACTTAGATAATAGCCATTCTCTTATGATATTGCAAGACTGTAGTGGCTTTGACACAACCCCAGTAGATGTCTTTAAATGTATTGCCTTTGAGTAATTTTATGTAGTAACTAAATAAATGTCTCGCACAAAAACGATGCTCAGCATTAAGTACTATAACTTCTCTTCAAATGCTCTAGACAATCCTTTTTGCCTGTCAGATTTAAATCCCCACCCATGTGAGTTAACAATATCAAAATTAGCAGCTAGCAATTCAAGGAATCAAGTCCAAGAGTGTTTTGTCTTTATCTCCACCACTACATAAGGAATGACCAATGTCTCATTCTTAGCATCTATCCCAATGGTTGTCAACATTTTGTCCCTCATACACTGCCATCAAGTGACAACCATCTAGTCCAATTAGAGGCCTATAACCTTCATTGAACCCCTTTTTACACCCTCATAAACATACATAAAGTCTTTGATACACTGCACCATTTCCATTTAAATCACACTTTATTTTCATGGTGGTTCCTGGATTAGTTCTCTTCACTTCTTCGCGACCATTCATTTGAAGCAGCATCTAGTAACGACTTTGGAACAATAAGTTAAAACTATTTTGTTTTCATAATTTAACTTTACCACGACCACCTTCTAATCTTTATCCAAATTTGGTGCAAGCAGTGTAACAAGCACACACAATAAGACTATATCAGAACACATTAACACAGAGACATTTTTTGGGTCTTGTAGAGGAAATGGTATCAACCTTCGAACTAGGACCACTAGCACTTAAGCACTAGGGCAGGTAGAAGGCCGGTACACACACACACACACACACACATATATATATATATATATAAAGTTGTATGCAAAACACCACCCTTCAAATTGCACATTTGCAATAAGTTGTCAATACTTAGTGAAAAATTGTCGACAAGTTTAATTGACATGTAATTGGTGTCATTGTAAATCCACAAATTTGATAAGGAAAGAAAAAGAAAAGAACACTCCCTAGAAGTGCAGAGTGGCCCGTACTACTGCTGCTAACTTTCACCGATGTACTTCCGTGAGCAAAGCATTAGAGTTGCATGAACTCTGACAAACCTTGCACATTCTGAACACACTAATTTCAACTTCCTAAGCTGCAGTTAAGCATGCCATTAGGTCCTTCAGGACGCAGCCATACACATGGATGGCTTGAAAAGTTGAGTAACTGCCTCTTCTTAGTTTGAATGAACGCAGGCACAAGAAAGCAGTCCAACCTCAGCAATTGTCCGGCGAAGAATAATTGTCTTCACAAACTTGGAGATCTTCTTCAAAGCCTGCCAGTGATTTGAGGGAGAGTTTACAACACAGTCGTGCGGAAAAGTTTAACCATTAAAAACACATATTGAGCATTTGAAGTCAAAAAATGAGAAACTTGATTATAGAGAGGTCTTGTGAGAGTCTCCCAAAACAAGATTTCAAGCATACAATAGTAGTAAGGATCATCATCAAACCAGAAAAGTTCCTGACGTTGCTGAGGAATGTAGGCCTTCATTCCTGCAGCATCGGTAACCAATTACTGACTACAAACTGGTTGTAAAGGGGAAACTGCTGGGAATGTATATCCTAAATAGTTAATAATAAGATGTGATTTGTTTGTGGCTTTCAAACTTCATGTGGGCAATGACTTGGGTTAGGAAAAAGCGGCACTACCAATCCCTCGGCATGATGTGCAACTTTCTCACAGTACTGATGGATTAACTTTGGTGTGCACTTGAGACTCCAGATGCGTTCAAATTCAAATCTTCAATTGCAACTTGAGATTTGGTCTTCTTAGCAACATAATCCATGCCCAAAAAAATTGAGCAATGATTGGTGACGTGTTGACTGCCATGTGATGATGCTTTCCTTCGCACGCTCAACCATCCTCTGGAAGAGGAAGAACGTGCCTTTATGTCACGTGCTTAGTGGGAGTGCTTAAAGTAATACTACGTGTATTTAGTTGTTGAATAGTTATAGAGTTTGCATGTCTTTTAAACTTTAGTTGAGTAATTATATGAGTCAAGTTTTTCCACTTCCATAGTGGAGATGCGTTGTGGGAAAGTGTTTTTCTATTTTTATGCTTTCAATTAGAGTCTCTGTTTATATAAATTCCAATGGCTTTTCATTAATGAGATATCAAATATTATCCCTAATTGTTAGGTTGTTTAACTTGGAGGTTTTGGGTTCGCTTGAAGCAATCCTATTCGTCTAATTATTATCCCAATTGAGCCTTTTAAGTATTGCTGCAAACATAGGCTGTAAGAAGAAAAGTGCATATCAACTCCCTGTACCTAATCTCCTAATCACTTGAGCCCTGTCCCAAGCACATAACACTTTATTGAAGTTGCTAAAATATGAAAAACTTATGAGAGAATATTGTTTGTGGGAATTTTTAGTGTATTTCTTTCCTTGTAGGAGGTCATATTGATAATACAGCATAGCCTTAGTGGCCAAGTAAAATAATAAATTCATATTTCCATTTATAGTAAGAAATCATGAATTAAAGAAAATCAATTACAATTAATATGGGAATCCTTGGTGTGCAAGGAAAGTCAATGGTCCACAAGTCGTGCCAACACTCCCTATCACGTTGGTGCATAGATGTCGTCAATGCCCAACTGGTCTAGTGAATTGTGGAACGCTCTACTGGAAATCGCATTTGTCAAAATATGCGCCAATTGATCAATGGACTTCACGAAAGGGAACTGAATCACTTTAGCCTCAAAGGCTTCTATTTGATGAAGTGTCGATCCACATCAACATGTTTAGTGTAATCATGTTGAACTGGATTCTATGCAATAGCTATAGCAACTTTGTTGTCACAAAAGAGATTCATTGTGGATGCAGGTTCATACCCAAGTTTAGTAAGCAATTTCCTCAATCAAAGGAGCTCATAAATTCATTTAGTCATACCTATGAACTCGGCTTCTGCACTAGATAGAGTTGCTACCTTCTATTTCTTGCTCCTCCATGTCACCAAATTACCTCCCATGAATGTGAAGTAACCAAATGTGGATCTTTTATCTATTATTCTACTTGCCTAATCTGCATATGAATAACCATCAATATTCAGATGACTATGTTTTAAGAGTATATGTCATTTTCCGAGTGCAGACTTCAAATATCTAAGTATTCGAAGAACTGCATTCATGTGGTCTTCACTTGGAGAATGTATAAATTGACTGACGACACTCACCGCATAAGCAATGTCTAGTCGAGTATGTGACAAGTAGATCAATCTTCCCACTAACCTTTGGTATCTTTCTTTGTTAGTTGGAACTTGATCCGAGTATTCTTCAAGATGATGATTCTGAACAATAGGAGTGTCTACATGTTTTCAATCTAGCATTCATGTGTCTGTCAATAAGTCCAAGACATATTTCCATTGAGAGAGAAATATTCCTTCTAGTGATCGGGCCATCTCAATCCCCAAGAAATACTTGAGTCCACCTAGATTTTTCATCTCAAATTCAATAGCCAAATAGTCTTGTAGTTGAGATATTTCTTGTTTATCATTCCCAGTAGTAATCATATCATCAACATAGATTATTAAAGTTGTTACCTTCCCTTTCTGATATTTCAAGAACATAATATGATCTGAGTTACTATGTCTGAAACCATTGTTCTTCATTGTCATGGTGAACCGTCCAAACCATGCTCGCGATGACTGAATGTCCATATACACATTCTCCGTGAGTTTTGCATGCAGGAAAGCATTATTTACATCAAACTAGTGTAGTGGCAAATCCAAATTAGTTGCGAGGGACAATAAGACATTAACGATGTTTAACTTTGCTACTGGAGCAAAGGTTTCTCTATAGTAAACACCCATCTACCTTCAACGATCTTTTTTCTTTGTGGTAAAGTTTCCAATGTCCAAGTCTGAGTTTCCTCAAGAGCTTTCATCTCTTCTTTTATAGCTTGAACCCACTTAGGATCTCTTAATACTTCAGCAACCTTGGTTGGGATATGGATAGCAGAAAACTTATACACAAAAGCCTTCATTGGTTTAGACAGTTTCTTAGTGGATACATGATTCGCAATTGGATACTTTAATGTCTTGCCAATATTAAGTGAATAATGGTTTGGTAGTTTCCCACGATTTTGCTTGAAAGGTAATTGATAATCAATAGATTTATCCTCTAAATTCACAAGTGTAGTAGGAGTACGTAGTTACCTCAAAGATATTTTCAAGAGATTGGACTGTTGGTACTGTTGATTAAGAGAGGGGTCTTCAACTTGTTGCTCTACGTTGTTTGTAGAAATGGGACTCAAATCATAAATAGCTTTGTAGTGGTTAGGCGATCAATCATCGGGAATGGACGATGTTGGAGCAGAAAATTTTGGGTCCTCCAACAATTAATATGATTTCCGTGTTGAGAAGTCGGACACCATTTTGATTGCCACTTGTGAAAGGGGGGGGTACCTATAAGAAAACACTCCGATGCTCAAGTCAGTAAAAGTATAATTGCATGAGAGTTTAGAATAGTATTGTATCTGATTTTCTCCTTCCCTTGGGATGTTGTGTTAATTGGCCTTTTATAGGTAGTGGAGTTTTGGGCTCTAACTCCCACATTCCTTATTTTTCTCCATGACTCAAGATAATGGATGTCATGTTACTTGATTTTCTCCATTCCCCCAAGTTTAGGATGCATGAGTAGTGGGTTATTGCTTATGCAGTAAAATTTGCTCATACACATGCCCTTTTTTTCTCTCTTTAGACACGCTTTGTTCTCGGATGTGGAGAGAGAAAATATTCATTGTGGGAATTCGTTCCATGTAAGATTTCAAGAGGTATCAAGTAATATAATAAATACATTTGTTAACTAAGGAACATGAGGAAATATAAATTTTGGAATTTAGAAGCAAACTAAGTTTGTTACCTTTTGACCACGGCTAAGCAAAGATTCAGAGTAAAGCATCGCCTCGAGAAATCATTGATCCACAAGTCCTTGAGTTGTGATATGCATTACAAATTTGGTGAACTTTAGTTGGGATCAACAAAGGATCCAATTGATTAGGATCAACTAAGGATCCGATTGATGGGCTCAAGAGGATTTGATAACTTCGAGATTATGTAAGGCTTGACATGGATCCGATTGATGGTCCCCAGAAGATTGATAACCCTAGGGTGATGTAGGGATTGACATAGACCCAATTAATCACCCCTAGATGATTGGTAACCTTAAGGTGATGTTGGGATCGGCATGGATCCAATTAATTGCCCCCAGGGGATTGGTAATCCCCAGGGTGATATAGGGATCGACATGGACCCAATTGATCGCCTCAAGATGATTAGTAACCTCAGGGTGATGTTGGGATCAGCATGAATCCAATTGACTGCCCTCAGGGGATTGGTAACCCCTAGAGTGATGTTGGAATCGACATGGATCCAATTGATTGCCCCCAGGGGATTGGTAACCCCCAGGATGATATAGGGATCGGCATGGACCCAATTGATCGCCCCCAGAGGATTGGTAACCTCATAATGACGTTGGGATCGACATGGATCCAATTGATTGCTTCGAGGGGATTGGTAACCCCGAAGATGATGCTGGGATTGGCATGGATCCAATGATATTGTTAAAATTGATATGAACCAAGATGGTCTGTGGAGTTTTGAAGCATACCATATTTGTTGTGCTTTGTTAATGACTATGTCGTTGCCCAAGCACCACGTCATGGAGCATGTTGACTTTGGTACACACCTCTTCTTTCTTCAATTTATCATCAACTCTGTTAGTTGAGTTTTGTTGGTCTTTGAATTAAAATTTGGATTTTCTTCCAGTTTGCAAACCTTGTGTGACGTTCCCATTACACCTACCTATGTCACGTTGAGTTTCAAATCATATAAACATATTTTTGTCAATTATCAAAATCATAAATTGGGGTGACTAAAGAGGCATAGAATATAATTTTCTTAGATTTATAATCAGTTTTCATGCAAATTGGAAAATGAATATAAAAATAAGACATGGTCTTCCACCAGATGAACAATTAATTCTTGCAGGATTCAAATTGGGTGCGTAAGCACTTGATGAATATACGATTATGAATGCATTAGTGTAGAAAACATTGCAATAAGAATTTTAAGAAATATAATAGTTGAGCTAGTCCATATGAGTAGACAGTATAAGCTAACTATATTGAAAAGATAACCAAGAATTATTAGGGCATAACTTCCATGATAGACTTAAGCAATAATATATGTAGCTGAGAGTAAACCATTGCATTGGAAAATATTTGACAGAAGAAGTTGTTCACATAGCTAAAATCATATGGAAATCTTCTAAAAAGAAACGCAATGAGAGTAAAGCATATTTCGACTTGGAGACCAGCCAAGTTACTTGCACTAGGCTTCATGCAAAACTTGTTTTATAGCTTACTGTAGCAATTAGTAGCATTCATTCCACTATAATTGTATTGAGGCAAACATGTCTCCAGGCAAAGTAAATTGACCATAGGCGTACTTTGAGCATCTTTCAATGAATGTAAAGGTTTCATTGTAGTTTAACTTTACATGCCTCCAGGCAAAGTTAAACTACATCTGACATAGACATCTAATTTGTATGCACATAAGTGAAATAATAGGACATGTCTGATAATGATCATTAGAAACGTGTAAAATTGTTCCTAATTTAGTATTATGTGAAAGTCAAAGTGGATGGGTTTAGATGATTTCTTATCTTGCTTTGAGAGAAGTTGAGGGAGTGGCTGCTTTGTTCAATAATTCAGGGTTGAAATGATTTTCCTTCCTTTCTAAGCACTGCATCTATAGGAACCTGTTTTCTTTTGCAACAAGCTTCGTGATACGACATTGTGGACATCACCCATGCCTTTTCTGCTAATTGTATCAATTAGAGACTAATTCAACCAAAATTCCAGGGAAGCACAGATGCCCCCAGCACACAATATTTAGCAATATACAGCCAGCATCGCTCAGAAACTTGTAGCCTTAACAATAAGAAAGAATGATTGCATGTCTTCCAATAAATCAATAAAATAAATAAATAAAAATTGATACCAATATTTGGAAAACTTAAAAATCGTGAAGAAGTTTTAGAAGAAATTGTCTTGTTAAATTCCAGAGCCGTGAGGGATTATACATTCCCTTTGTTACTTTTCCCTTTTATTCTTTATCAGAGACCTAAGAAATCCCATTAAAGCCACAAACGCAAAGGAAAACAATAGTAGCGAACGCCAATTCGTGAAATCCTAAAAAGAGAGTTTAGAAATTCTTCTCGGTTCGGGGGATTAGACTCGTGCCCCCATTGTAGCACGGGTGAGACTTCAATCACACAATGTCCATTGCTTCTCAAGGTGACTTTTTGTACGTTTCCCACAGATGGCGCCAACTGTTGGAGAAGAAAATTTGGGTCCTTCAACAATTAATATGATTTCCATGTTGAGAAGTCGGACACCATTTCGATTGCCACTAGTGAGAGGAGGGGGTACTTGTAAGAAAACATTCCGATGCTCAAGTTAGTAAAAGTATAATCACATGAGAGTTTAGAATAGTAATGTGGAATTATTGTCTAACTTACTGCATTTCTTTTGATAACATGTGGCAGGCTGCATTGCAAATATTTCATCTGTCTTTCATCTATTGGATGGTACATCAGCCACATGGTGTACCCAGAACACCCAAAAATTACTCCAAGTTTAGGATGCATGAGTAGTGGGTTATTGCTTATGGAGTAAAATTTGCTTCCACACACGATTGATAGGTTTCCGGAAGGTAAGAACATATCGTTCCAAGCTTGGGGCGATTGATCGTCGATGTTGGATGATCGATCATTTCTTGGCCGAGAGAAGCCCCATGCTCCAGACCTCGTGGCGATCGATCGTTAGAGGTAGGACGATGGATCGCTTCTGTGCAGACGTGAAGTTCTTCTCCTAAGTTGTTCCAATTATGCGCTTTACTTCGTATCTCTCCCTAAAGCATAGAATTGGATGTTGGGTCATGGAAAAACATCTCAGATTCCAGAGAGGTCACATCCAAAGTGATAGGTATGCCAGGTATGAGAGTGATAACATCAGTAGCCTTTTTTTATGAGTGGCATAGCCCATAAAAACACAACGACATGCAACGCTGATTTTTGTGGAGATGAACAGGGACCCCTATCCTGTTGAACCAGTTGGCCCTGATTGAGGAGCACTCTTGGCCACTAAACCAGTGCTGGTGGGTGTGGACGAACCCATCATCACAGCTTATCAAACTTCTCATGACGGACATAGGCATAGGCTTGGTCCACGATGGGAAACAGAGTCATCTAAACAACATCAATTTGGGCCTTATCAAGACGATCATCTAGGCCATCCAAAAAATATGTAAACTCGTTCATGCATAATATCATTATATCGCTTGATATCACATTCATATTCCATCATATTGGGACGACAAAAATCAATTTATCTCCACAAGCTTTGGAGAGTATTGTAGTAGGTTTTAGTAGAGCCACTGGCTTGTTGAAGACTCTTCGTTTCAAATCATACACCTGAGGGGTATCAATGCCATCATAGTAGGTCATGACAATTGCGCATCCCACACTACTTTTGCCGTTGGAAAGTGAATGAAATTGCCAATCAAGGTCTGCTCCAAAGAATTAATGAGCCATCATTTCAAAATCGAGTTCTTGGTTCCCATCGGGTAAACGTCGAAGTGGTCGGAGGAGGTTGTGGAAGATCTATATTAATATATCCCAATTTGTCTTTGTTGGTGATATACATCTTGACAACTTGGGACATAGGGCATAGTTGGTGCCATCCAATTGTTCGACTTCATTATTGAATGAAATCTTCACTTTGCAGCATGGTCTCCTCAACTCATCGTCTTTGAAGAAGGCGCAGCAGCATGCGACTGCACCAAGCCCAGTTCTATGATTTATAAATCACGATAGTGGAAATCTTTCATAAGAACTCATCTAACCATTCAGAGAACTGAATTGAACAACTTCCCAAGGTTGAGCTACAAAGTTTTTCTAAAGCCTTGTTCGAATGAGACACTAATAGCAAAAGACTAGTATAGTATAGAGATATTGATTAGGGTTTTCTTCTTGTGCTCTTAGTGAGATTCTTTTAGGCTAGCTATTGTGGTTTCCTCCATCTCATCTCATCTGTCCTTCATAGAAATGAAAATTCAAAGTTTGGGGATGCAAACTGATGTTACCTTTCTGTTTTTTATTTTCTAAGTGCGACACCTCGCATTATTAATGATGGATTGAAAATTCAAAAGTTATATTAGAGTAAAATTTTGTATCGAGGTGGTTGTTTATATGAAGGCATGTTTCAAATATGTTTGGTGGACTGGGAGGAAGGCACTAGGCAAGCAGACAGAGGCATTATGTGAATATGATATATATGTTGGTGGTTTGGTTTTCAAGTTCGTTGATTTGTGATTTGGGAATGATCGGTACGTATTGTTTGAGTGTATATACATTTTATGGGGCTAAATAGGACCCACATTTTCTGGATTAGATATTGAGTGCTGTAGTTTTTTGGGTTTGATTTCTTTTGATACCTTTAATTCAAGATCTTTCAGATATGTTCCCATCTAGAATTTGCATAATTTTTTTTTAATGTTGTTTTTAGTTTGTATTTTCTATGATTTGAAAGTTATACTGTAGATTTTTTTTCTTTTGTAAACCGAAAACCTTAATTTGAGCAACAAATGCTGAAACCGGCCAGTTCAATTCAGTCCAATTCCATCGGTTTTACGGTTTTTGGGTAAAAAGTGTCAACCCATTTGGAACAAGACAAACAAAACTTCAAAATTTTAAAATTGATAAATAATAATAAACCAAAACTCACGGTCCAAATTAAATCTCTTCGTGGCCTCATCCTCGATATAACAGGGCCTTTAATTTGGATTACCATTTTCGTTTCTTTTTCTTCTTTTTTTTCTTTTTTTTTGATTTTTTGATTTTTTGATTTTATTTTATTGAGATAGAGGAAAGAATAAATGAATAAGAATGTATGAACAAAGTGGATGGGTGGTAGAAATTTTATGGTGTGCAGTCGTTTTTATGTGCTTACTCGCCACAAGGGTCTCCAAGTTCATTGGAGAAATAATGTTGCCTGCAAAACTTGCACAATCCATCTTCGAGTGAAAAGAGTAACGAAAACTAATTTATACGAGGTAATTAACCTAGTAAGTAATCAATCAATGAGGTAGAATATAGCTGTTGTTGTAGTGTGACAAAATTCATCGAAAGATTCACAATATGCAGAAAATAGCCAATAAGGCAGACTTGCCCTCAGCACATCTGGAAATGAAGAATGATTGATTTCACTGATCTAGCATTTCTTCTGAACTCATAATAGAAAGGATTTGTATCTTTGCCATCCGGTTTGCCAAAGAGAAAAGAATCACGATCAAGTTACTCTTAGTAGTCGAAACTGAGTCTGACACTTCCACATCACTGAATAAATTTGATAACGTCTAAAAGAAAATGGAAACAGTAATCTTTACCTTCCCTGACCCTTCTCCAGAATTAGGAATGTTTTCATAATTCTTGTATTGTTCTAACCTAGTTTGCCGGTATTTTTCTCTAGTAATGCTAAGTCTATCCCAAGGAATACCTTGGATGTCTTTTCCTTTTCTTGCTTGAGCAGCAGTTGTATCAGGTGCTTTGCTGTTCTGCATGAGGTCCATAGAATTATTCATATTTATTAACAAAACTAACCACAGAGAAACTTGAAACATACAACGCCCATAAAAAATTCTAATAAAGCTAACACAAACCCATATCATAAATAACAATATCTACTGAAGCTGTGAATATGTCATATATCTCATAAAGCATATAGGTATGTCACAAACCAAGTAGTCATATTCATCCACGTCAGAATCTGAGCCGCCCATTTCTCTACCACGAAACTCATCATCATTATCATCATCTACACCTTCCATTTCGTATTCATCTTCCACGTACCCAGCATAATGGGACATATTCTTCGTAACAATGCCACAACTAGCACCAATAGAATTCGAGCCAGTTACTTAAGAATCAGTAAAGAAGTAAAATAAATCAACCTTGCAAACACAAAAGTGAAAAGTTTGAACCAGTAACTTAACGAATTAATTACTCATGTTATTGGGCCATTGCTAAAAACTAGGAATAAGATTATTAAGAAAAGGATCACCACTAAATAACAGAAACATGCCTAATGGAGTAATACATATGGGAGTGGCTGCAGGACACAAATCGTTCATGGAGTACTTAATGTAATTTATCTATGCATATCACAGGGCATGCGAGCTTGACTACAATAAGTGAGTCCCTGAGTTAATGTTCAATTTAATTGGATATCATAAATATGTGGCACTCAGTGTCTCAAACTGCACAAAACTCACCGACCGTTATGGGATACAGCAATACAAGTTCTGTCCAATACAAGAAAAAGGAGTCTGTAAAGGCTGATATAAAATTCAATGTCAAAAGTAACAATCAAGCAACCCCAACATGAATCTCATCCTTGATCTTTGAAAGGAGTAAAACACCATCTAAAGGTAGCTCATTGGGGAATATAACCAGCATTGCAAAATTATTTCTTAGTACCAAAAATTGAAACTCTAATTTTGAAGGCATCAATTAGTAAAACATAATTTTGAAGGCATCAACTTGACAGAACCCTCAGCTCCTTAATTTTTTTTTCTTCCTTCCCCTTGAGCTAAAAAATCTAGTTTAAATACTCACCATTGCACATAAAACAATGGCATATGCTTGAGGTGAGTGAACTATCCCTTCAAGAAAGCTTGAGTTTGCATAGAGTTTTCAAGCATCTTTACCTGCCTCCTGTTATGTAGGATTTAGGTAGTTTAGCGGAAGCGAAAACAATGGAAAATATAACAAAAGGGATAGGTCTGGAACCTCTTTTTCTTTCTCAATTTCCTCATCTTTCTCCTCCACTGGAACGCATGCATTTCTACTACCTATGCACATCACATTTTGACCCCTCAATATTCTCACGAGTCCTTTCTCTCCCCACTTTCCCCCCCAAGAATTTTGGCACAACCGTTTTGCATTCTTGTAGCCAAGAATGCACATAGCATGGTATCCACAACCGTATCCGCACCGGTTGCACCAAGTCCATACTCTGTCTTTCTCACATATCTTGTAAGGGCATTCCTTTTTAGTGCAGTTCGAGAGTTTCTCTACCTTACATTTCTTTTTAGAGCATTTGGCTTTTTTAGGGCATTTCGCACCATAGCATTCTTGGGGTCTCAAGATGTCATGCAATGGAATTGAATGAGTGAGTCGTGACCATAATGAGAACCCAACATGTGGAAAGCTTGTTTAGAAAGGATAAAGCAAACCTTATGTTTTATTTATTCCCTTACTGTAAGATTTTTGATATTAGTGCCCACCTTCGCACATTATCTATTAAAACTTGGCTAACTCACCCCTTTGTAATGAATGAGATTTATATGGGCTGCGACACTGCACACCACCGACCAAGTTTTAATAGATAATGTTCAAAGCTGGGCACTAATATCAAAAATCTAACAGTAAGGGAATAAATAAAACATAAGGTTTGCTTTATCCTTTCTAAACAAGCTTTCCACATGTTGGGTTCTCATTATGGTCATGACTCACTCATTCAATTCTATTGCAGGGCATCTTGGGACCCCAAGAATGCTATGGTGCGAAATGCCCTAAAAAACCAAATGCTCTAAAAAGAAATATAAGGTAGAGAAACCCTTGAACTGCACTAAAAAGGAATGCCCTTACAAGATATGTGAGAAAGACAGAGTATGGACTTGGTGCAATCGGTGCGGATACGGGTGTGGATACCATGCCATATGCATTCTTGGCTACAAGAATGCAGAATGGTTGTGCCAAAATTCTTGGGGGGGAAAGTAGGGAGAGAAAGGACTCGTGAGAATATTGAGGGGTCAAAATGTGATGTGCATCGGTAGTAGAAATGCATGCGTTCCAGTGGAGGAGGAGGAGAAAGATGAGGAAATTGAGAAAGAAAAAGAGGTTCCAGACCTATCCCTTTTGTTCTATTTTCTGTTTTCCATTGTTTTCGCTTCCGCTAAACTACATAAATCCTACATAACAAGCTTGAAAACTCTATGCTTGAAAAAGAGGTAAAGATGCTTGAAAACTCTATGCAAACTCAAGCTTTCTTGAAGGGCTTGTTCACTCACGTCAAGCATATGCCATTGTTCCTGAAAATGTCCATTTGAAAATTCAACTGCTTCAACACTTGGGAGCCTCCTCCACTAATTGCTCTTTTTCATCTCCTGTATTGAAAATTGCATGTAAATCTTGTCAGACAATACAACACAAAAAAGACACATGACTACAAATTGCATTTTCATTTCATCAAACACCATAGTTTAAGTTTTCCTTCTCTGGAAGCAATACTTACCAAAACAAAGAGAAGCTGAGGAACTAATAATCCCTCTCTATTTTCCTTAAATTTGTTCAATTAAAATTCCAGACAAATTAACATGCTTGAAACTAATTTTTTGCAACGATCTTTAATCTGGCAATGACTTTGACAATGCTTAAAGGTGCCAAAGAGATTTTCACTCTAGTCTCAGAGATGCAAACAAACAAGGCCAATAATAAGAGTAATCTGTTCGCAGTTCATAAACAAAAAAGAAAGAGATTCTAATTATATTATTACCAAGCTTGAGGCTTGACGACAAAGACAAAGTGAGGGTGAGAGATCAACTGCAGAACTTTGAAGGAGTGATCTGAGGCGTCCATTACGTAGGAGCTGAGTTTCTGAAACAGAAAAGCATTTCAATTTTCATGGTCAGGAAGAGGAAGATGAACAGTAAAAAGTGAAGAAAACGGGAAGGGTAGGATTGAGTAAAGTGGAGGAAGAAAGACCGAGACAGTCCACATTCGTGGTTGCATATGAATTTTTGGAAGGCTCTTTCTGATGGTTTTATAAAGGAAGTGTGGTTGCAAGTACGTTGGAAGAAATTAGGGTTCCTTAAGAAATTCAAATCAAACTGACCAATTGACCAACGTACGCACAGGTTTAAACTTTAGCAATAGAAAGTTGGTGTTCATGTAATCTGATAGGGAAAGCTTAAGGGAAATTGAAATTGATTGAAAAATTCACGATCTTGAAGCAGATTTAGCCAAAAAGCTCCAAACTTTATAACAACAGAGCCATGGAATTGAATTGAAATAAATTAGAAGAGTATCGAAAGATTTACCCTTTAGATTTAGATGAGATCTCTTTCTCTGCGATGATGATAATGATGGATCAGCAACAATCTGAGATCGTCCACGGATCTGAAAAGCCCCAATCTTTTTGGGTGTTGGAGGTGTTTTGGGTGTTGGAGGTGTGTGAATCTAAGGTCCAACAGCAGGAACTATACTACTTATGAAAAAACCACGTATGCGCGGGCGCGGCTATACTACTTATGAAAAAAAAAGACCTACCAAGCGAATAGGTGCCCACGTGCTTAGAAATATTATAGCTGCTCGGCTATACTAATTTTTTAAATTTTTTTTTAAAACGGAGTATAGCCACTGGGCTATACTATTTATAAAAACAAAACAAAACAAAACAAAACGAATGCCTAGTGCATAGTTACCCACGTGTCAAAAACAGTCTAGCTGCGCGGCTATACTATTTTCAAATCAAAACAGTAGTATAGCAGGGTGGCTATACTCGTTGAATACATTATATTTAAAAGGTATAGTCGAGCAACTATTGTCACATCCAGGGATCAACTCTGCCGTAGCATGATATTGTCTGCTTTGGGCCCCCTTCTCTGCCCTCACGGTTTTGTTTCTGGGAACTCATGAGCAACTTCCCAATAGGTCACCCATCCTGAGATTGCTCTAGTCCCAACTCACTTAACTTCGGAGTTTCCATGACTCCAAAGCCAGTGAGCTCCCAAAAGGCCTCGTGCTAGATGGATGTGGGCATGTACATATAAGGCACATCACCCCATCTCCGTTGGTCGATGTGTGATGTTACAATCCACTCCTTTTAGGGCCCCGACGTCCTCGTCGGCACACTCGTATCACACAGCAGAGTAACTCTGATACCAAATTGTCACATCTCGGGATCGGCTTCGCCGTAGCACGATATTGTCCGCTTTGGGCCCCCCTTCTCTGCCATCACGGTTTTGTTTCTGGGAACTCACGAGCAACTTCCCAGTGGATCTCCCATCCTGGGATTTCTCTAGCAACTCCCAAAATGCCTCATGCTAGATGGAGGTGGGCATGTACACATAAGTTACATCAGTCCCTCTCTGTTGGTCGATGTGTGATGTTACAACTATACTATTTAATATATAAAAAATTAAGAAAGAAAGACCCTCCTTGTTGCATTAGTTTATACTTTATAGATATTACTTTGCTAGTTTTAACATTTCCTAATTTGGTATTGAAGAGACATAAATTTCATACTAAATCAATCTAAGAGTTCTTTTTTTTTTCTCTTTTTTTTTTTTTTTTTTTTTTTTTTTTTTTGGTGTGTTTGCCTTTGATCTGACCTCGTTCTCTCGAGTGCTACTAAATTTGGTTAGTGCACACATTTTTTATCATAGAGAATTGCATCCTGAGTTGGAGTGTTCTTGGTAATTACTTCACTTTTCAAACAACAATTTACATAAAGAATATTAGCACCTCTCTTACTGATATACCCATAAATCTTTGTTTGAAATTGTTGTTCTAGTTGGCAAAGAGATTGCAAAATCACCATCTTGCATATTTGTTAAAATAAGTAAGAAATGTAAAAAAATCAAAAGGGGACAATAGAGACTCAAGTAATAACCTAATAGTAATGAATAATACTCTAAAATAGTATTATCGATAAAAGAAAATCGAAGAAAAAAATTTAAAAGAATAAAAGGATCCCAGCATATATATATATATATATATAAAAGAGTATAGCTGCTTGGCGATACTATTTATTTAAAAGTGTTGAGTAAAGCCGCGTGGCATTAATTTTTATTTTTATTTTATAAATGGAAACAAATCGAGTATAGCCTATACAATTTATAAAAAATAAAAAAAGACCCACCTAGCGACTAGGCACCCACATGTCAGAAAACGTATAGCCGTGCGGCTATACTACTTTTAAAAAAAAACTAAAAAAACCGAGTATCGCTGCCCGGCTAATAGATAATGCTCTAAACTACTCTTATCGATAAAAGAAAATCTGGGAAAAAAATTTAAAAGAAAAAAAAAAGGATCCAAGCAAATATATATATATATATAGTACAGTCGTCGGCTATACGATTTATTAAGAATTTTTTAAAAAAAAAAAAAAAAAAAAAAAAAAAAAAAGTGCTGTAAAGCCGCGTGTCTATACTTTTTTTTTTGTTGAGGATCTTTCCTATTGAAAGGGGCGATAGCATACTAAACTCACACGCACTACACGGATGCTAGGACTCGAACCCAAGACCTTGCATGATGGAGTAAATACTCCAAACTACTACACTAGTGGGTCCTTTGCTAAATCAACACCCATATTTTGGGTCGGTGGATTTTAACTTAAGTTATACTTACACTGCCTTTTACTTTTTACTATCCCCACTGCTAGTTTCTTTTCTTTTTTTCCCGAATCTCCACAACTACTATACTAACTACACAATAACTCTTTTTTTCTTTTTACTATTATTTCGAAAGTAAATTTCTTTTGATATGCATTAATGAGTAATCTTCTATGAGTAATGCTACACTTACCACATTAGTATCCCACATTTCTATACCATATGATGTGGCATGTCCATATCATATGACATATCAATTAAATGAATGAAGTGTATTTTAATAAATAAAATTAGAAAAACATAAACTAGTATTTTACATGATGTGGTATGTACACATCAACCGCCACATCATGTGGTATAAAATTGTGGTATAAAAAATGTGGTAAGACTAGTATTATTCATCTTCTATTTGCCAACGAGATTGATGTCTTTCTAAATATGATGATAATGTAACACGTAAGATTGTTTCTCAAATTAAATCCATCAATTAATATTGGAAATTAGTTGCGGGATATATACAAACTTCTTTTTAATCAATCAATAAAACTATTCGAAAATCTTCGATTAATGATGCATATATTGTAAATCATATATAAAGTTTGTGTTGAAGACAAATTGACCAAGTATTAATAATATGAACAATCCTTCTTCCTTGTCATTAAATTTCATCACGCTTATGCGTAGTAATATTGGATCAAGCTCAAAGCAATCCATTAAGGTTTTTTCTTTCAAACCTTTGGTTGCTAGCTATAAGATCAAAAACCATCTGAAAATCACCACATAAAAAGAGTTGATGCAGTTATTGGAGTTCTAACTTCAATTTCATCTATATCTAAAATTCTTTTACGGTGCATTTGGATGAGGGAAATAAACTTGGGATTTTGACCAAAGTCAGAATTTCTAAATTGACATGAACCAATTCTCGTGTTTGGATAAGAAAATTTAGAAATTTAGAAATTCCGCGTAGGAAAAAACATGGAATTTGGAGATCATAAATCCCAACTTTAAATTCTATCTAAAAGTCGTCATTTCTAAAATCCCAAGAGAGATTGAGTTTTTGAAACATATCAATTTACAAATAAAAGTTAAACTTCGTGTTTTAAATCCGTCACCCAAACAAGAAACTTTACAATTTCTAGAACATTAATTTTCGTCATTTTAAATTCTGTCATTTATGAAATCATTTGTACTTTTAAATTTCCTAATCCAAACGCACTATTAGTGTCCTTCCCCCACATCTTGTAGATTTCATTGTGCTTGCCATGATTAACAATCTCTGCTTCAAATTCATGGACCATGCCATCTATTTCAATTCCATTGCATCTTTCTCAAGTAAGGCTATCGATCACTTGGGTAACAATCAATTGGATGAAGGTCTCTAATTCTTAGTTCGCCTTCACTCTACCCCTCTCTCCTTCGTCCCCCTTCCTCTCCTCCCTTCTCTGTTCTCTTTTCCAGATCTTTACCTTCACTTTTTTCTGTTTTTTTGCTTTTGCTTTCTGTTCTTTTTCTCCCATCTCCTTCTTTTTAATTTCTTTTCTGATTTTCTCCTTTACCCCTTTTTTTTCCCTACCTTCTCCTCCCTCTTCCATTCCCCCTCCCCCCCCCCTAAAATTTTTCCTCCACGGGTTGCTGCTCTGTTTTTGCAGAGCCAGTTCCTTTTCGTTCTTCTTTTTTGTTTCCTTTTTCCTTTTATTTAAGTTTAATTTGTTTCATCTTTTAGGCCGTGAAGGCTTCGGTTGTATTTTTCAGGTTTTCTTTACAAGTTTCTGCAATGCATTTTCTCTCCTCATTGTTGGAAGCTGCGTCACATCGGCTGGTCTTAACCACTATCATCGGCTCCTTGACTCCACGGATGTTTCTTCCGTTGTCTATCCTCGGTGGAACTGTTGGAGTTTGGTGCCCTTAAAGTGCAAATCGCACTTATTGCTTGGATTATGGTAGCACTACTTCTACTTGGTGTAGCTTTGGTGGCTTGCCCACCACCATTTTCTGTTGGTTACTGGTTTCTCCTTGGTGGTTGCCGGCTTGCTATGGTGGCGCAACTGGTGACTGTAGGATTGTGCGGCATATGTCTGTTAATGGTGTTAGGGTTTCCTAATGTTGTGTTGTGCTTTGTGGGCTTTTGCTTTTGGTGAGTTTTCTGCCGTTATGTGGGCCCTTCGTCTCAATGTGGGCTTAATGCCTTTATGTATGCTTTATGCATTTTGTTAGTTTTATTTGTAGTGGGCTATGTCTGTTTGCATTGCATTTTGTGTGAACTCAATTATTTGAGTTTATTTTGATGTAATATGGCTTTTGACCTTCTATTTAATGAAACAAGATTTCGTCCACAAAAAAAAACGATATGAAGACAACATTTGTAAAAATGTAACCGACTTAAAAATTAACACAAATCTGAAAGTCGCATACTCACGAGATACCAACATCTGTAGCTTAGAGTGATTTAAGGTTGCTTCAGTTAAGATTTGATCAGTCGTTGGTTAGACTCGAATCAATTTACCAAACAAGAGAAAGTCGCATACTCACGAGATACCTCAGGCATATACAATTCTCTTCTCACAATATATGATCATGTGATTAGCACGTGAGAGAAGTGTTGTACTAGACCCCTTTTTTTGGGGTTGGGGGGGACATTATCTTACAACATTGTTGGTCAATTTTAATTGCAAATTAAAATAAATAAACACACACTACAAGAAAAAAGTCATTTAACAACATGCATTGTGCGTTGTTGAAGGGTATTAACAACACGCGGCGCATGTTGTTGAAGCCGATGTCGTTAAAAGGTCCAGAGCTTTCGACAACACGCTTTGCATGTCGTCATTGATATCAATGCTCGTTGTTAACACCATTAAATGCAACGCGCACATGTCGTGAAAGAAGTGTACAACAACGTGTTCTGCACGTTGTTGAACACATCATTGACAACGTTCGTATGCATGTTGTTGTTACATTTTTAACAACAACCTTTGCACATTGTCATACTAAATATCAATGTTTTATTATTATTTTCAAATTCACCTTATAACAATATAGTTCATCTGTAAATTGAAGCTTCATGATAAGTAAAGCGATTTTCTTCTTTCCTAATAATAGATAACACATAATAAAGAACTTTCATTCAAAAAATAACTCCACACGTATTACAAAGATTGATAGATTCATTGTCAGAGTTACACTTATCCACATGGAAGTAGAGGGAAACTGTACTATGCTTATAATTACATTTCAAAACCCTTGTCGAACATGATCTAGAAACTTGATAAGTTGGGCTAAAGCTAATGAGCCAATGAATTGGATGTAAAGTGCTTGATGGTTAGAAGAATTCCAAATTCAATATGCTACTGCCAGCTTCAGTGTTAGAAGAATCCCAGTTCAGATTGTATTCTTGTGCAATTTCCTTCAATCCTAAGCCTGGCCTCTCCAGATGGAACACTCTCAACTGAAATTGAGTGGCAAAAAAAATTATATTGACATACAAGTCTGTAGAAATGGATTACCTTTAGAATTTTTAAAATTTTAATGCTTTAGGAACCCACAAACATCATTGTAATGAATAAACTACTCATGCAACTATCTACATGCATTTGTTTAGATACTTTAATAAAATCAAGTAGACAAAATTCACCAATATTATACACACAAACACATATATTTATTTCACCAATCCAGAGAAATATTACTTACCCTATTTAGTATTGAATATTTCTCTTCTTTGTGACATTTATAAGCTAGAGCACGAAATAAAAAGGGGTACATGAGTATGTTGACAGATAGGCCCTCTGTCCAGAAGACCAATAGACTCCCATTCTTCTAAGAATTGTGAAGCTCTGTTTCATCCAGAGAGCAGGTGTGCACAATTTCTTTACAATAAAAGAACATGAACTCAAGACTTAAATGAGAATCTAAAAGTAATGAAAGGAATTAATAAAGAAACATAGATCCCATGATAATTAATAAGGGCAACTTGGTTGAATTAAAGCAAACAACAAGTGAAACAAACTTTCGAGACAGACAGAGCTAGTTTTAAACATAGATTCTAAGCTTGTATGGGACTTAATTAATTTGGAGATGATATGTATGTCAATTTAACTAACAAAAAAGGGACAACCAAAAAGCTGTATCTTGGGTTCTTTTCCCCACATGCATTATAGATGAGCACAGCAAAAACACCCAAATAGACACCTTGTTTTGCTTCTAAAATGAAAGCTTGAGTGTCAAATCAATATGATAATACCATATTCAATGAAAATACCACCACCAGCTGAGCTCCCCTTTCTGTGCACTGCCCAAACCTCTACACCCTATAAACCTAATACCAATCAAATTACATGATCAATTCAGCAGAACAATATATATTAATTAGTAATTAAAGTTCCAAAATATATATATATATTCGAAGTACCAAAACAAAAGCAAATATATATTCATATCGGACTCAGATTTTTGCTTTTTTTATATGTAAGACTAAACTTTTTACGTGTTCTACCTGATCCTCATTGCGGTAGCCCAAGGAAGCTGCACTTCTCCCGACCACTTGGCCACCAGAAGACAAAGGTTGAACCTTTGGCATTGAAGAGACCTCTTTCGAGGTCTCATACACAGCCCCAACTTCAAACCTCATATCTGGAGGCTCGATTGCCTACGGACTCGGGTTTAGGTCCACCACCAAATTATTACCTCCAACATAACCATACCCAGAACCATTCCAAACCCTCTTACCCATCAAAATACCAAGAACAACAATCAAAGCCTACCTTTTACTTGTCCAGAGAATTGAGACCAATATGGATGGAAGGCAGCAGTTTGGGTTTTGGGATTTGGGGGTTTTATTATTTCTCAATATGACAGACATAAATTGAGGAGAAAGGAAGGAAATTCACATGAAATGGAGGCTGTCAAATGTTGAGAACGAAGAGATAGATGGTTCAGATTCTTCCCCAATTTTGGATAAAGTTTAGTCTAATATCTTGAGAATATAAAAGGGAGAGAGAGAAGAGGGTTCAGGCGTGAAGTCTGAGAATGAAGAGGAAGAGGGATTCTAGATGAGAGAGAGCAAGTGAGGGTTTGGGCTCAGAGATTGGGAGGGGATGAGACAGAGGACGTAGAGGGTTTGAGAAGAGGGGTGAAATTAGAAAATTAGTGAGAAAACAAAAAAGAAAGAGCGGCACCCGAAATTTAAAAAGAGTTTGAGAGAGAGACTGAAATTTTTAGCTAAAGAGGAAGGGAGAGTGAGGGAAATTCGGATAGTTTTTTTTTCATGAATATTTTACTTCATTAAAGTGATATAGTTTTGACAACATGCGATGTGCGTTGTTGAACTCCAAATATAACAACACACCAGGATGCGTTGTTAAAACATCCTCGAAATTCCATTTCAACAACGTGCACTAAATGCGCGTTGTTGAAAGAGATATAACACAACACACATACTCCGCACATTGTGGAAAGTCTAATTCCACAACGCATAATTTATGCACGTTGTTAATAACGTGTTGTGGTAGAGTATTTTTCTTGTAGTGACGACACCCAAATACATACAACAAAAAGGGGGAGGGAAAGGGAAAAAAAAAAAAAAAAAAAAAAAAAAGTCACGTCCTTTCATAAGGTTCCCTTCAACCTTTCTCTCTCATTCGCACGACAATCCGAGAACCAGTGGATAGAGATAAAATACACACACTTTCTTAGTTAGGGTTGGGATTCAATTTCTCAATTTGGGGATTTCCATATCCGAACAGCGGCTCCTTCCAAACTTCTCAATTCCCGAAATTACGAGAGGTGAATTCTTCATTTTTATTATCGTTGTGTTCTTCTCTTTGAAGGAGTTGAGCTACTCTCTCCATTGCCAATTGATTTTGGGGTGGAACGTGTGAGTATCAATCTTCTTGTTATATATATTTCTGATTGGTTTCTTTTTTGTATTCAATTCTTGGGTTTGTCAGTTTTGTCCTTGTTTCCCCCAAATTCCTTTTTCTTTTTTGGTATTTTCTTAATAATATTATTCCTAGTTTTTAGCAATGGCCCAATAACTTGAGTAATTAATTCGTTAAGTTTCTGGTTCAAACTTTTCACTTGTGTGTTTGCAAGGTTGATTTATTTTGCTTCCTTCCTGATTCTTAAGTAACTAGCTCGAATTCTATTGGTGCTAGTTGTGGCATTGTTAGGAAGAATATGTCCCATTACGCTGGGTACATGGAAGATGAATACGAAATGGAAGATGTAGATGATGATATGGATGACGAGTTTCGTGGTAGAGAAATGGGCGGCTCAGATTCTGATGTTGATGAATATGACTACTTGGTTTGTGACATACCCATATGCTTTATGTGATATATGACATATTCACAGCTTCAGTAGATATTGTTATTTATAATCTTACTCCCCTTTATGATATGGGTCTGTGTTCACATTATTAGAATTTTTTACGGGTGTTGTATGTTTCAAGTTTCTCTGTAGTTAGTTTTGTTAATAAATATGAACAATTATATGGACCTCATGCAGAATAGCAAAGCAGCTGATACAACTGCTGCTCAAGCAAGAAAAGGAAAAGACATCCAAGGTATTCCTTGGGATAGACTTAGCATTACTAGAGAAAAATACCGCCAAACTAGGTTAGAACAATACAAGAATTATGAAAACATTCCTAATTCCGGAGAAGGGTCAGGGAAGGTAAAGATTACTGTTTCCATTTTCTTTTAGACGTTATCAAATTTATTCAGTGATGTGGAAGTGTCAGTTTCGACTACTAAGAGTAACTTGATCGTGATTCTTTTCTCTTTGGCAAACCGGATGGCAAAGATACAAAGAAAGGATCTTTATATTATGAGTTCAGAAGAAATGCTAGATCAGTGAAATCAATCATTCTTCATTTCTAGGTGTGCTGAGGGCAAGTCTGCCTTAATGGCTATTTTCTGCATATTGTGAATCTTTCGATGAATTTTTGTCACACTACAACAACAGCTATATTCTACCTCATGGATTGATTACTTACTTTTTTTTTTTTTTTTTTTTTTTTTTTTTTTCACTTACTAGGTTAATTAACCTCGTATAAATTAGTTTTCGTTACTCTTTTCACTCAAAGATGGATTGTGCAAGTTTTGCAGGCAACATTATTTCTCCAATGAACTTGGAGACCCTTGGAGTTGTGGCGAGTAAGCACATAAAAACGACTGCACACCATAAAATTTCTACCACCCATCCACTTTGTTTATACATTCTTATTCATTTATTCTTTCCCTCTATCTCAAAAAAAAAAAAAAAAAAAACGAAAATGGTAATCCAAATTAAAGGCCTTGTTATATCAAGGATGAGGCTACGAAGAGATTTAATTGGCAGTTTGTTGGCTTCAAGTCAAAGTGTTTTGACTTGTAATTTCTTTAAATTTGGACCTTTCCGAGTGAGTTTTGGTTTATTATTATTTATTAATTTTAAAATTTTGAAGTTTTGTTTGTCTTGTTCCAAATGGGCTGGCAGTAGGATTGGCACTAGCAAATCAGACCGATCACGGTTGAGGAAATCCAAACCGACGGTTCATTGAACCGAATCGACATTCGTCAATCGGCTTTCTTATTGAGTCTTTGTACAACAAGAATATTTAATAGTTTCCAAAGAGAATTAAAAAAAATAAAATGGTAGAAACGAGAAAGAAATAGGGTATGTGATAGATAGTGATCTATATTATAAAAAAATTAGGATTTTTAACCCTAGCATCTTTTCAATTCCAGACCCTATTCTTATCTCCTTTTTATTTTTCTCTCCAGTAATCATTTAAGAGTTAGATGCAAAAGTTAATAGTAGCATCTGCTCAAAATCTGAATCATATTGCAGATGAAGAACAGGCGGAGGTTTCTTGTGATGGTTGCCAAAAAGAAATGGATGGCGAGAGGAATAACCATAAGAAGGAGGCTTTGAAGTTGAAAACAAGACATCACGATCAATATTGTAGTTGTTGACTACTGCGCTCCTAATTTGAAAATCCCCAACCCTAACCATGTTTGCTACTATTCTTCCATTGCTATGACAACGTGAAGAATATTTACTCCCCAACTTTCCAACCGCAGACCGAATAGCTGTTGCCATATGCCTCTCCTCTTCTCCAAAACCCTAACCCCCAGTCTCAAACCAAATCAAATCATGATATATAAAGAATATTTACTCCCAAACTTTCCAACCCAGGACCGAATAGGTGTTGCCATAAGCCTTTCCTCTCCTAATGCCCTAAAACCCTAAATCCCAAAACCAAATATTTGTGATGGGCCTTGCATTTTGTTCAAAAGAAAATACAAGTGAGGGTCTCTCTCGTCGGAAAGGCTATAATGAGGGCTTAAAGTGAGGAGGTTATTTGAGGTCAAATCTCACCATCAACAAATGTAAAGAAATCATGGGACTTAAATATTTTAAATGTTTTGACGGTCGAATCGGTCTCCTCAAATAACCTCCTCACTTTAACTCCTCATTGTAGAAGCTCCCCTCTCTCGTTAATTAATAATGGGCTTGGGCATACAGTGGGTAAAGAGCTGCCGTTTTGATTTTTAGAATACGTGAAGTGGCGACGTTTTAATAGTGTGAGACTGATTGAGAGATCTTTCTCTTTAGGGTTTACGCGTTCAGTTCACACACATTGAGAGACCTCTCTTTTTGGTCGTGAGTGATAAGAAAAGAAAGAGAGAGAAGATAAGGAGGAAGGAGGGAGCTAGAGCAAGAAAGACATATATGAGTGCACATATCATCCTTAAAGAACTCATAGTTTTTTACAACTTCACTTCTCCTCTTTTTTTCTTTTTTCTCTAGAAGAAACCAGTTCCTAGAAGAAAAACAAAGCCTGCATTATTATTACGTACAGCAAGTCATTCATGAAACAAACGTTCATTAAATATTCTGCATAAAGAAATCTCTACTAGCAATTGAACCCATGACTATGAGTCCGCTACAAGTATTAGTATGCAAGCATTAGCATTATCCATAAGGAAGTAGGAAGTGCAAACACAGTATCATCCATACTGGAGTTCCAGTCTGTATAAGGAGAAGCATCATCATCTTTTAATAGATAAGCAAGCTCTCTTTATAGACTTCTCTTGATTCAGCTGCCTAATGAAGACATCGGTTAGAGCAGAGTCGCTAAGAAAAGTAGCCACCAAAGGATGCAAAGCCTACGATAAGTAACAACACAAGAATCATCAACAATTAAAAAGGGAGAAGGGTGCGGTGAAGAGGGCAACATGAAAATTGTAAACAATTAATTCACCTCCTTCTTGCCAACCTCAACAGTTTCCTCCTTTATGTCAGTGAAAGGTACCTTCAATTCATTTATAATCAAAAAGCCAAAAAAAGGAGATGCAGGCCTTATGATCAGCTTGTCAGTTACAATGAACGCCGTTGATGCTTTCAAATACCCTTGAGTACTTTTATCAAGCTTCAATTTGAGTGGAAGTGTCACTGCGTTATTAGAAGCGATGAGTGTTTTATCAGTAGCCAATATATCCACCGGCCAATATGCATAATAATATGAGGCCACTGGGCCATCCTCAATTCCTAAAAGACGGTTCTCGTAGCAAAAACCAGGGTAAATCTTAGGACCCAGTAGAATATCCCCGTGGTAATTTGACTTCAAGTGCTGCTCATCAAGATCTTTGACACATTTGTGCAACTGATAAATGCACCCTTTGAAAGAGGCATCCCTCTTATGCTTTACTATGAAACCAAGTGGAACAGTTAAAAAAACTGAAGAGCAAATTAACAAAATCCTCCCCTGCTTCTGCATAACAAACAATATTCTTCGATACGCTAATTGTCAGCTTAACAACAATCTTTTCTTCTTCCTCCGCATCCATCATGTCTCCAAGCAGTAGAGATTCAATACGTGTCAATATTAGTTGATTCAGATTTAAAAGGCTCAAATTCGGATTTGGTACAGGATTATGCTTCTGTATAGTTTCGGACAGAGGTTTCTTTGATACTAATGAGCGCAGAAGCAAGTTCAAAACCTGGAAAAAAGACCATGAGGTCAGAAACCACAAACACTACAGTTGTATTAAAAGAAAAATAAAACAATTGGCAAACAGCATTGAATTACCTCATGAGCTCCTATATTCAAATTCTGTTGTTGAGTTGTGCTATTCTCATTCATGGCTCCAAGCTTTGTAAATACAGGATTGCTTGCCACCGATAACGGGGACATCACACATAAATCATCAGTAATTATGAACCTAGCTGATTCTTTTACAAAGATGCCCCCACGTTGCTCAGCAGAGGATGAAACTGAAAGTGACAACTTCAGATTCATGCATCTTTCACATTGACAAAGAACACCTTCGTAATGACTTATTGACTTATTTTCAAGGTTGCATTGCCAACTATCACACACAAAGTACCTCGTCGGCTCATCATTGTCAATTTTCAGTTTGAGGTTTTTGCAATGAGATTCAGCCTCATTGTGGGGTCATAGCAACATCTCTTTACATGCTTCAGTCTGGAAATGCCGAACATCGATATTCGCAACACTGGGGTACAAATTGCTCATGCAACCTATTTCCAGCGGTACTGAATGTTTACGGGCACGCCTGACAATTGTTCCCATTGGTATTGTCAAGAAACTCAAGAGAACATCAATAAAATCGTTATCAGACTCTACGAAGATAATTGTGTTGCTCCCCTTGTCCACCAAGGCCTTCAAGCTTATATCATTCTTCACAGCTATAGGCAGCATTAACGTATTGATCTACAGGTTCTGCTGTGCAGGAAATGAAAAGTCCTCTCCCATGTTCAATTTTAAAGGTGGCTCTGGTTTTTTTTTCTTCTTTATACGAAAGTGGTGGGCGAAAGACCGCATGCATCATTCAAACCGGCCAAACCAAACCACATTTTTTGGGGACAAAAAACCAAACCACTTATGGCAGTTTTGTTTGGTTTTTACACTAAAAAATTGTAATCTTACATAGGTTCTAAAAAATTGTAATCTTAAATAGGTTCGAAAAATCGGCCTAAGCGGCACCTAGGCACTAGGCGGGAGGACACTGCCGTGATTTCACCCTAATCATTAGGTGTAGGCGCGCCAGGGAGTTAGGCGGCGCTTGGGCGCCCGCCTAGGCGGGTCTAGGCGGCCTAGGCGGTTCTAGGCGGGTCTAGGCGGACGAAGGGCGGTTGAAGCGCACAGGAAGCCGCTGCTTGTTAGGAAGAAAGACGGAGAGACAGAGAGAGATCGAGACAGAGAGATGAAAACAGAGAGAGGAAGGAGAAGGCTGCGTGGTGAAGAAGAAGATATCTGACCTAATTTTTAATATAACTAACGGGTTGGGTTTTGTAAAATGCACTTAAACATTGTATTAAAATGGGCCTATTTTTACATTTTTTGCAGTTTTTTTTTAAATATCGAAGTTACTGAAAATACAAACAAACAAAAAAGTCAGATAATATCAAGGCTGGAAAATATTGAAGTTTTCTTTTATATATCTTATTATTTTGCATAATTTTGGTATAATTTTATAATTTATAATACAAAATAATTATTTAAAAAACGGGTGCTTAGGCCCCGATTACTCCTTTAGGCTCTGGGCCCATGCATGCCGCCCACCTACTGCCTACGGATTTTTCGAACATATATTAAAAATAGAAAAGCATATGTATGATGTATCATAAAATACAAATGGGACATATAAAAACATTTTATTTTTATGAAATATTTTCATGTCTTAGAATTCTTTGTTTGACACTTGTAAGTAAGATTTTCATACAAGAATTCTAGAGTTGATCGCGTTTAGTGGACTCTATCTTCTATAGAGCACCTGCACATCTGTCTCAGTGTCTTTACACGAATGACTTAAGACTAGTCATGCTCCCAATTGAGCAGAAATAATGTGTACCAGTCTTTGCGGGTCATCATTGTCCAATTGGTGATCCTATGACCAAGAACATTTTAGAATGCAATATTTATATATATGGAAATGTCTCATGCATCTAACTTCTTTAGACCACTTTCCCTCTATATCTTAATCCATGGACCTGGTACATATGTAAAGCAATGTTCTTGCCCCTTTACTATTATATATTATTTCATTATAATTATCCATTTTATATTGGCTTCTAGGGCATATATCTAACATGCACCACATCCCCCAACACAGCTCCCTCTTCCCAAACCATCCACCACCATCCCCAACAACTCCTTGCCTACTTTGTAATTCAAATTCCAATTCAAGCTCATGGCCAACTAGGTCATCTCCGATAAGACCTCTTACTCTTTCATCAATACCTCTAATGCCGTAAGCGATGATGATTATGATGACGGTCATCTCCGGCAAGGAGTTGTTGGATATGGTGGCTTGGAGGTGTGGGAGGTGGTGGATGGTTTAGGAATGGTTGGGAAGATGGGGCTACATTGAGGGAGGTCGGTTTTTTTTCCCGAAGTCTTTAGAAGTTACTTTATAAATGGGTAAATTTGTCTTTAAAATTTTGAAGATGAGGTGGGTGGGAAAATAGGATAGGGGATGGAAATAGCAATACTCTAAATTAAAGAACCCAAAAAAATTACAAATCATATCATAATGCATGGATTACACCCAACTTCTATTGTTAGATTTTCACTTATCCCAAATTTTCTATTTTTTATTGTTTGTTTTAAACAATAATGTTAAAAAAAATATTTTTATTATGTTTTTGCACACATGACATATATTTTAGCTAAATAACAGGTCTCACTTGTATCACGTTGGCATTTTTAACATATTATTTGACAAAGTTGAAGGTGAGGGATAAAGTGAAAGACAAAACACCGATCAATAGACCTAGCCAACGAATCATGTTTGTCGTGTTCATGTCAACCCAATTTCTTAATCAGTAGACACGAATACAACCTGTTATAATAATGAATGACATGACACGATCTGTTTCACTCGTTAAGAATAGTGGGTTAGTTTAATCTACATGATATGTTTCACTTCCTTTAACCTACATGACCCATTTCACTCGCTTTAACCTACCCCGTTTCACTTGCTTTAACCTACATGACCCATTTCACCCATTTCAAAGATAAACTATATTTCTTCATAAATTGTTAAATGAAAACACCTCATATTAGACAATATTAAAAATGATGTTTAAATCTAAAACATCATTCACCAAAGATCCAAATGGGTACTCCCGAATGGGTGAATAATGATTACTCGTGGTTCGATAATAGGTATTTGCCCATGGATAACGTAACGACCCGTTAGCTTAAGGGGTGGCTAATGGATCCACTCGTTTTCAACACAACTCATTAAGTCCGACCCGAATATATATTTTTTTTCGTGTGAATTAGTATTGTGTTAAATATTATGTACAATATTATTAGTTCTATCATTTAAGGGAGTAAAGTAAGATACTTCAAATTTCATATTGTTTGATGCTTTTACCTTTAGAGCACTTCCAGCAAAGGGGACCAAGGGGAGGGCTAGGGGGGGCAAGCCCAAAATGGTGTTTCCAGCAACAAAATTTGGCCCGGCAAGGAGTGGGACCTAGCGAACTGGGTTGGCATGAGCTCCATCCTGCAGGCTCTCAAAATTTTTTTAACGTTGGAGCGTGCAATGCACACGCCAACAGTAAAAAAAAATTTGAACACGCCACTACAATGCCCTTGTCGACGTGGCGTGCGCTGGGCTCTCCGATCAAATTTTTCTAGCAATCCAACGGCAGCAAATTTTTATGCAATAAAAAAATTTTAAAAAAGGGAAAAAAATTTAAAATAATACCAAAAAATTACTGATTTTTTTTTCTCTATACCTTATTTCCTGGGCTCTCCGATCAAATTTTTCTAGCAATCCAACGGCAGCAAATTTTTATGCAATAAAAAAATTTAAAAAAAGGGAAAAAAATTTAAAATAATACCAAAAAATTACTGATTTTTTTTTTCTCTATACCTTATTTCCATTTTCAACATTTAAGTAAATGTCTTTGTCCTTTTACTTTCATTTATTTTTATATTACTCCATTTACTTAAGTTTACAATGTAAATAAGGAAGTACCCCCCATTTGGATTCAAATAAAAATACTAGAAAATCAAATTCCCACCAAATCAAAATATGAAAAATCGGTTTTAGTGCAAAATACGATTTAGGCTAAAAATGATGGCTCATTAAGTCAATATATACTTCATACTAAAATCCCATAAAATCAAGTTTTCTTATTTGATGTGTAAGGAATAAAAGCCGCCAAAAATTAGCTTGAGAAAATGATTATTCCGAAAAACCATTTTTCATACTTAGTCAATATTGCACCTCCGCTAAAAAAATTCTAGGTCTGCCAGTGTCTATAAATAGCAACCAATACTCTTCACTTTTAACATCAAATCCTCATACATTTTTTTTTCTATAAATACCAACCAATACAAGTAATAAAATAAAATCTTATCTGAAAATAATATCCAAATTAATTGTTTAAGTAAATAAAGTTGTGAAAAAAACAAAAAAAATGAATTGTATTTGCTATGGCAAAGGACAACTGCTGGAAACACACTTTGCTGGGGGACTAATAGCAGCTGCCCTAAGGCTCCCCTTGTCATGGGAGAAATTATAGAATGATACGGTATCACCACATCAGATAGTGATACTCCCACTCCAAAACTGCCACTTGTCACTTTTTAAAGAAAACTACATTTTTTTATACAGCTGGGCTTTCACATCCAATTTTACCCTTTACAATAAAATTAATAAAAGAAAAACCACAAAGCAGAAAATTGCACCAGACTCCCACCCGACTGAAATTACCAGTTCCCGTTCGCCGCCCCCTCTCTCTGAGTTTCTAATCCTCCTTCCATCTCTCTCTACTGTACCAGCAACTACTTTATCTTACATTTGTTGTTTATTTCCGCATTGAAATTTTGCCTATTTATTCATCTCCCTCAAAATAAAAAGAATTAAAAATTGAAAAAACTAGAATATTGTACGCCAACCACTGCACTCAGCTTTGCCTCCCCTGGCCATCGCCCCCACTCTCTCAGTTTCTCTCTCTCATTTAGAAGAATGAGATATGCATATTTCAATTGATCCCAAGTCAGCTTTTGGGGCACGTCATATTCAATTGAATGAGATCTGCATATTCAATTAAGGGAGTTTCACTAAAACACCCAAAATGGGGGTTGAAATTATAAAAAAACCCAAGCACTATTCAAACATATAAACACACCCAAAACCCATCATTACACACATTCAAAACTCATTTATAAACACACCCAAAAAGTTGACTTTGGGGTTGATTTTGGGTGTGTTTCTATGTTTAAATAGTGCTTGGGTTTTTTTATAAATACATGTCTAGGATTGGGTTTATTTATAAATTTGTATTCAATTAAAAAGTCTCAAGTTTTCTCATATGTTATCGAGAGAGGAGAGAGAGATGTAGGGAAGAAGAGAGAGAGAGTGAAAGAGTAGGGTTCGGCGGTGGAGGGAGATAGTTTGGGTAACTTGTTCTCTCTCCTTTTTTTTTCTTTTTTCTTTTTGTAGATTTTATTTGAAAGGGTAAAAGTATAATTTCATGTCCAGCTGTAATTAGTTTTAACTTTTAAAAATAAAAATAGACAAATGGCAGATTTTGAATGGGAGTATCACCAGCTGATGTGGTGATCTCGTACCATTCTATAATTTCTCCTTGTCATGGCAAGGGGCTAACTGCTGAAAATGCTCTTATAGGAGATTCATGTTCTCTTTTTATTTTCCTAATTTAAATTTTTAGTTTTTAAACATGAAAAAATATTAATTTACTATCTATCCTTGTATGGTTTTCATTCCTTATCCTTATTATTAAGGAATTTTTTCGGAATTATAAATGTTTCACTTGAGCCTCCGAGCACTTCCGTTGGCAGTTGGCAGTTGGCAGACAAAGGAGACGCACAAGAATCATGTGTCCCGACAATCAGCTACTCAGATAGCATCTAAATCGGAGGCTCTCAAATCTCCACGTGTCGACAATGTAAGCAACCACGTCATCAATTTCTTCCGTCCTTTACCAGGGCACTACCAATTACCAACCTCGAGTCAGACAGAGACAAACACCCAGCTCCCTTTTGTTTCCATGGAAACTAATTTTCTCGCCACATTTTCCCGATAAAATTCTTCCGAACGACCATTGAAAAGAAACAGAGAATCAGTCCGAGGCAGAGAGATTATGACGACTTTGATCAGAAAAGTGTGGGAGTCGGTGTCGAGCCGCAAGGGCTCGAACACGGAGACAACGTCATCGTCATCTTTGGCGACGTCCTCGACGGCGTGTTTGGGGGCGTTCGATCGGGTACCGACAGACCTACTGATGCAAATCGTGAGACTGGTGGGGCCCAAGGAAGCAGCGAAATTGAGCGCTGTGTGCAAAGCCTGGAGGTGTCTGGTCTCAGACAATGAGCTGTGGATTTTCTTTCTACAGAATCAGAAGAAGCAGGAAGAGCCTCACTGGGATTCCTTTCTTTTCTCTGAAACCCATTTGAGATCCGGTTACCCACTTCAGTATGTTAAAATTCAACTCAGCTGACTTTCCACACTTTTTTAATTCTAGCAGCTCAGCTACCAAACCCATTTCAGCATTCAATTCTACAGTCTGTGTTATGCAGAAAATAGAAGAAATCTAATTCAAATTGGTGTTATTGGTAGTAAATATTGGGATTTTCCTAAGAGAGTTTTTCTTTTCGGCATAAAGGTCTAATTTTCAAGTAACCAAACATAGAGAATGTTAGACTTGTAAATTGGATTTCAGTTGGTTGGTGTATTTTGCTTATCTATGTGATAGTGGATGTTCATAACTTGGAGAAAATGCCTCATCAACTGCTTTACTGAGGAAACCTGAATTTTTCTTTGATGCATTGAATTGTGGTTAAAGAGTGATGCTCTGACGCATCAAAATGGAATTTCTATTGCAGACCATTCTGGAGTCAGATGCCCCAGTTGCCCTTCATGGCTATTTATGGCCAACGAGAGCAAGTTCCTGGTTCTGTTATCATTGATGGTGAGTGTCTTTAACCTCCTTACTCATTTACAATTTATTATTCTTGAGAATGCTTACATCTTTTTTCTTTTATTATTCCCATTCTTCTTGAAATCATATATTCTTTTCTTTTGTGCTTTGTTAGGAAGCATGTAAACCAAGAGCTATTGAATGTTTTAGTATAATTTTTATCTACCATCCAGAAGGATATACTCAGATATAAGATTTCAATTTTGTTAACAACCTTTGAGTTTATCTTGCTTCTACATAAACCATTCCCTCATTTTCTCTTTACATTTCTTGGGAAGGGGGCTCTGGCTATTGCAAGTTTGGCTGGAGTAAATATGCTTGCCCATCTGCGCGGTCAGCAACCTTTTTGGTGAGTGTTTGTTTTAGCTCACAGTTAGAATTTCTTTTGCATACAATTCCCATAAATGGGTTAAATCCCACATGCTTGTTGGTTATGTTTGAAGCTCTCCTGCATTGTTAGTGTCATAATTTGGACTTTGTTGCAATGTCTGTTCTGAAGTGATCTGATTTGCAGGAGTTTGGTAACGTTGAGTCTCCAATGTACTCTAGACTCCGCCACTTCTTTGTAACTATTTACAGCAGGTGTGCCTTTCTATCATTTTAAATTTTCATTACTATTTTGTCCTAGTAAAAAACTGTAGCTGTTTGTCTCGATGCAATTCTCTTTCTTTCAGTTAATGGCATAAATATTTAATTTAAGCTACATGTTCAATAACTTAAATACAAGTGAGCACATTTAAAATAATTTTCCACTAAAATTTCAAGTTGAAAAAGTATGGAAGAAACAGAACTTATGCACTACATTAATTATCATGTGGCATGGCGGTTCGAACCTTCAAACTATCGATGCCATCGAATCTTTAATATCAGGTATAAATGATGTGTGATTGTGTTTCTCTTTAGGATGCAGGTGAAACCATCTTCACAGCCAGTGGTTCTGTCTATACCCATCTGCCATTATGATGGTGAGTTGCTATCTATTACGTGCCCCTAGAGCTATATCTTGCATTGGTCGCATTAATTCTGTGTTACAGTCATTGTCTTGTTATCCTTCGCGAGGTATACTTTTATCCATTTTGTGTGCTTTTTTTTTCCCTTTCCTATTCCTTTTGTTCTAGATACAGAATCTGCCAAAGCATCAAGACGACAACTCAAAGAAGCCATATATAAAGTACTCTTTGACATAAATGTCCCTGCTGTTTGTGCCATTAATCAGGTAGACTCTTCCCCTTCCCCTCCATAGTAATATAATCTGTTGTCTAAAAACCATAGGGAAGCAAGGAAATAAAGCATAACTAAGATGGATTGCATTCATGCAAAGTTTTTCTATGTGGTCGGGAACTGCATTGTTTCAATGTATAGATGGGTTAATTGAGTTCTTGATCCAGATTCACTGTCTGCTTTTAAAACTGTAGGCAACTTTAGCTTTATACGCAGCAAGAAGGACCTCAGGGATTGTTGTAAACATTGGTTTCCAGGTCACTTCTATTGTTCCAAGTAAGCTATTTTCATTTTCATTTCATTTTCCTAGCGATTTCAGAAATATTAACTAATGGAAAACAGATCCCTGTCCATGTTAATGTTTTCTTGGGAACGTGGATAGTGTCTCTTCTGCAATTGTGTATAATTTTTTTTCTTCACATCTATGCATGACATAATATTGTTTACCCTTTTGAATTAGTTTTTTGAAATGTCAGTTTACTTCTCATTTTTAGCTGGCAATCTGGCATTGTGTGACTTGTAGTTCTAGGCATGCTTGTTTGCTTTTAGTTCTTTAGATATCTCTAGAAAAATTCTTCCACTGAAACTTTTCTAAACCATCCACTGAACTTTTCAGTTCCAATAGTTTCTTTTATCCTTGTCTCTGGTGATGCTATGTTTTTTTTTCTTGTTTCTTTTTTTCCATTTTTGGTTCTTGGGACTTTTGGAACTTTGTACTTATGTTTTACCATTGTGTTTACAGTTTTAAATGGTAAAGTAATGCGCAAGGTGGGCGTGGAAGTTATGGGATTGGGAGCTTTAAAGCTTACAGGATTCCTTAGGGAGCTGATGCAGCAGAACAATATCGGTTTTGAATCACTGTACACTGTTCGGACTCTGAAAGAGGTATATTGGCTATCCTTTCATGGTGCAGGCTGTGGTTATTGGATATTTATCCTCATAGAATACTGTCAGTGACTGTTACTGCTATCAGTAGCATTCAACAGTTCTTTATAAAGGACAATTTCTGGTTCTATTTTTTGTTCTTTCTTCTTATGTCATAGTTGTATATGGAAACTTATTGGTGTAATGACAAGTGGAAAGTTAGAAAGTAAGGTGAATATTATGGGTGAGGAAGTTCAATTCGCCCCATGCTTTACTGGGTCAAGGACTGGAATGTGCAAAGTTAAGAAAGACGTGTGTTCATTATTGTGATAAATCAAGAAAGAAAGAATTTTTCAATTTCATGTTTTAGTGTTTCTTAAAATCATTATAAAGACTATCGAATTTGGCTAATGTTCTGTTGGTTGAATAACACTCAGAACTTATGTTATGTTGCTGCTGATTATGAAGCTGAGCTATCTAAAAATACACAAGCGTCATTTGAAGCCACTGGAGAAGGTTGGTTTACTCTTTCAAAAGAGAGGTTTCAAACAGGAGAAATCTTATTCCAGCCACGGCTTGCGGGAGTGTAAGTACTGTTAGAAAGTTTCAGATTAATTGCTTTCTATTTTTCCCTCCCCCTCTTCCTCTCCCCATTTTGCAGATTCTGTTGCATTCATCACATAAAATCATCAATCATGGTTTCTATCCAACATTACCATTTAGTTTATTCGGAATGCAGAACTTCAGAGGGAAGCTGTATTTAAATTTTAATATGATTTTTGGTATAGGCGTACTATGGGTTTGCACCAGGCTGTTGCTCTTTGTGTGGACCATTGTCATTCTGCAGAACTAACAGATGATGATGCTTGGTTCAAGACTGTAGTCTTGTCAGGAGGGAGTGCATGTTTACCTGGACTTGCAGGTATCATTCAATTACAGGCACTCTATCTTTTGTGACAAAAGAAAAAACCGAATCTGAAATGGGCAGCTTACTAATCTAGTGGCAATAGAGATGTGAAAAAATGTTGCAAATTACTTGTAAGAATACGAATCATTACCTTTTTCTTTCAACCTTTTTTTTTATTCAGGAAGGTTAGAGAAGGAGTTACATGGACTTCTCCCTCCATCTGTATCTAAAGGAATCACAGTCATTCCCCCTCCATATGGTGCAGATACTGCATGGTTTGGGGCCAAGCTGATCAGCAACGTAAGTGTTGTCACTACCTCAAAACCTGTGTTTGGATGTACAATTCGAACAGGCAAAACTGCACATATCCATTGCAAAATATCTTTAAAAGAAATCCATCATAGATTCAGTTGGCTATAAACATTATCAGATATCTGGATTTCTCCATGTGACTCTTGGAGTTGCAAGTTTTAAGGTGGTGTTTAAAATTCTGTTTAATATATAATTACCTGGTGTTAATACAGCTGAGCACCTTCCCCGGTCCTTGGTGCATGACAAGGAAGCAGTTCCGGCAGAAGCCTAAAGTCAAGCTTATGTGGTGAATAATTACTCTGGATTATTTATTTGAGGACTGCCGTGGCCAATACAAGATATGAAGAGGTTATGGTGGAACTCCAAACTCCAAGGTTATTTTCTTATAACTTCCCACAGAAAACAGAGAGACAAAGCAGAGAGGCTCTTTTGAAGAACAGGCCGAACTTTGAGAGGTTTTCTCATTGTATATTAGTTATATATGTCGGAGCCTGCTATAGAATAAGTATTCTATTATGTAGTTTCAATAAATTACGAATACTGCGAGCTTCTCTGCTGTGCCGAACAAACTGTATGTATCACGAGGCTTTACTGAGCATATAATTGTGTCGAGTATTTGTATGTCTAAAAGTGGAATTTTTTTCCATTTTCCTCAATTTTGAAATTTTCCAACTTAGAGAGCGCAGGAGACCATTGACGTGTACAACCTCATAATAAGTACCAAAATTGGACTTAATTGCTTGGCATCAACATCTTGAAAATAATAAGATGTGAAGAATCTATGGACTCGCCCACATCGAAAATGTATGCTATAATGGAGTTCTAACTTCAATTGCATCTATGTCTAAAAATCTATTAACCATTCCCCCCACATCTTGTAGATTTCATTGTACTTGCTATGATTAATAGTCCCTGCTTCAAAGTCATGGACTACACCATCTATTTCAATGAAGCTCAGTCCACGAGTTGTCTCCAAGTCATTTTCTCTGATGAGCTTTCTAATTTTAGTTGCAGTTTCCTTTTCCCCAGCCTTAGCGAACATAAGCCCTGCAAGTTTATATCTGTCACCAGACATTGGCTCAAGTTCAGTCAAGTGCTTGAAAGCAAGGTTCCCTCTCCTCAGGTCATTGTGCATCCTACAAGCACCAAGTAACGCACCCCATATAACCGAATTGGGCTTTTCTGGCAGTGACATGATAAGTTCTTCCGCCTCAGCCAGCCGCCCGGCACGGCCAAGAAGGTCCACCATGCATCCATAATGTTCAATGGATGGTCTTATCCCATACTCATGCACCATTTGATAAAAGTACTGATATCCCATTTCAACATAGCCGGCATGGGAGCAACCAGATAAAATAGCCACAAAAATTATCTCATTCGGATAAGTTCCATTAGCAACCATGTCATCAAACAGTTCAAAGCACTTTTCAGCTTGCCCGTGTATGGCAAAACCAGAAATAATAACCCCCCAAGCAACTAAATCTTTTTGTGGCATCTTCTTAAAGACTTCATAGCCATGTTCAATGCTGCCACATTTGGCATACATGTCTATGAGAGCCGTACCAAGAGTGACACTAATCTTAGCCCCAATTTTATCAGCATATGCATGTATCCATTTTCCTTGGTCTAAAGCTCCCAAATGAGCACAGGCTGACAATGAGCTCACAAGGGTTGCCTCATTTGGAGAAACTTCGGAAATCATCATCATTTTCTGAAAGAGCCCTAATGCTTCTGCAGACATACCATTCTTTGTGTACCCTGCTATCATTGCGCTCCAAGATGCGTCATCCTTTTCTAACATATTATCAAACATTTCTCTAGCCTTCTCTACTTCACCCTGACTGAGGTACCCGGAAATCAACGAGTTCTTCGCAAGCGTGTTCTCTTCAGGGAAGCCTGCAAGAACTTGTTCTGCACAGACCAAACTGTCCATTGAACTAGAGTACATGTGTATTAGTGAGCTATGAACGTGTGTATCTATTGCTGTGCCGGCCTTAACTATCCGGCAATGCACTTGTCTACCTTCAAAGATTGCACTCAGTTGGGAACATGCTTTAAGAACAAAGGTATAAGTGTAATTGTCTGGTTTTAAGCCATCTAGTAAAAGTTTATTATACAGCAACAAAGAATTATTTGGGCACTTACCCAGTATCAATCCTCTGATCATGTTATTGTAGGCAAATACATCAGGACAAGATATTCTATCGAAAACTGATGAGGCATGGTAAATTTGTGAAACTGTAACATAGGACTGAAGAAGCCTCCCTGCATTTGGAGGGCGGTCAAGCAGTCCTGATACAACTAATTGAGCATGTACTTGTCTTACTTCTTGGAAGTTGCTACACATTTGAAGAAAAACCAGAGTGGTTGGCATTCTAACCGGGATTTTCGAAGAGAAGGATGGTAACTTGTTCTGATTGGCAAGAGACGGAGGAGCAAGAGCAGCAATGATTGCCATATAAATTGCTAATTCTTGTTGGAGATGAACCTTAAGAGTTTAGAAGTTAAAAGGCCTTGTACACCTCACTGTGAACCCTCCAAATTGTTATACTTAGGCCGGCTGGGGGAGAAGATTAGATGGGGGAGAAGATTAGATGATTCTCCTCAAATTTTATATTTTGGTCTGCACTGGCATCAATTATTTAGAGCCACAGAAACAAAAGTCCAAGCTACAGATGATATGAAGATAATTGCATCTGGTCCCCACATTACACACTCCAGCTCATTTGACACAGTTGGAAACCATGAAGTGTAGCTGTCAATGTATTGCACAAACGGACGTTTAAATATTACAAATACCAAATGCCACCACAAAATGATGCATTGAAATAAATGGATCTTATTACAACGGTATTAGCTCTAGCACTTGTGGGTAAAACATTGGATGAAAACCCGATGAATGAAAAAATTGTAACTTCCTCACAAGTCTAAATATACTAAATGGCTGAAAATGGTCTTGACATTCATAATAACCTGAATAACAATACTACGAAACCAGCTGTGAGCATTAGCAATGGAGATCGATTGAATGTTGAATGAACACCATTTACATCGTCAGCCGACGTTGATGGTGGTAATGCAGGGCATAGAAGACCTTCCTTCCCTTCATGGCACTCATTGGCAAAAAGCCCCGGTGGGTAGTTTCCATAGAGGTTAATGTAGCTGAACATAATTGAAGCACATTCATTTGTCAAGTCATTCAGCACATCTGTATAAGGACAAGCCAATTCCTTGAATGCAGCACAACACTGGACAGCAGGGTACCGTGGTCCTTTGCATCGGCTTGTGATAACAGTGTAGTTCAAAAACTCAAAGTTCACTGGACAGCCTGCAGATAACAGGAGACAATATTTCACAAGACTTAGTTACCTTCTATTAAGATCTATAAACAGAAAAATAAGCTCTCAAGAGGATTAAGGTTCTATGCAACCCAGAACCAAAAAGGGCCTCAGTGTGACATATAAGCTTCCAAGTTCTTATTGAAAAATAAGCTTCAAAGTAATGCAATCTGTTGAGAAAAAAAAAATGCCTAATTGAATCATGTTCTTGTTTTGTATTTTTGTTCTTTGCTGTTTCATTTACAATCCTAAACATGCTTCTAGCATTCTCGATCTCTCAAACAAACAATATATAAGCTTCTTCGACCTATAATTTCCAAATCAATGGAAAAATTAGAGAGGGTCATCAAATAGCAAGCCATTTTTCAATCATCTTGCAGAATTTGGGCAATCCATTGGTACAAAAGGATGCAAGCTGAGAGACAATACACAGCATAATCAAGTTGCAGAATATCAGCTTGGCTTCAAATTAAAGCCCAATCTCAAGCTCCTCTATTTTTCTCTTCCTTATATCTATGCGAGTTAAAAGGAAACTTTGGCATATGAGAACTTAAGAAGACACGATAAACCATCAACCATTTGCAAATATATACTATTCTGTGAAAGACTCCCCAATTTAGTCACTAGATTTCGATTCCATTTTGGTCAATTAATTTCTCAAACCCAGTTTTGACATGATTTAACTAACCAGAAACTGAAATAACAGAAAAGATAATTACTTGATTACTAGTGAATTATCCTAATTAAGGCCAATCCATCAGCCTCCAATAACAGATCATCTAGCACACAAGCGGCATATAGATGCAAATTGCAATCTGCTTTCATCGTCCAAATACTAAAATTGAAGCTAGAAAAGGCCATCAAATGAGCATTGTCTAAAACTAGAAAACCTTGTGGCACCACAATTCAATTTCTGGAGTTAAAATTCATGACAAACAAAGAAAAAAAAATTCAGAGAAGGATGTGATGGAAATGAAACCTTTCTTGGCCTGCAGTAGGTTCCGGCCGATTGAAGCCTGAGATTCAAAGATACCATCTGTAGTTATAGACAGAAGAAACAAAAGTTTAGAGCTTTGTTGAATCTGAGCTTACTTGTATTGAATGTAATGGTATGGCACTACATATATAGAAATTATCTGAAAAATTGAGCAACACCTGAAATGAAAGTAGGAGAAGAAGAAGAAGCAGGAAAACCCATCAAAAGGAAGAAGAAGAGAATTGCAAAGCTGAAGCAAAAGCTTTGATTCAACACCATGCTTTCTGGGTTCTTGGAGAGAACAAAGAGAAGCCAAGTTAGAGATCAAAGATCTCTCTTTGTTGACTAAAGAGAGTTTTTCCTCTACCTTCTGTTTCTCTTTCTTTTATTTGTTCACTATTTCTTCTTCTGGAAAGGGAAAAAAAACAAGAGGATAAAAAGCTTAAATCTTTCTGTTTTTTTTTCTTCTTATTTTTAATTTTTGCAATTTTGCTAGCAAGTTGAAGTAGCTAGTAGCAACTTACCTTAGAAACAGTCGGGCTTGATTGAAAATGGAGTACAGCAGGCTACGCGGAAACTGGTTTCTTTTTTCCTCCTCCCATTTGATTTTTAATTTTGGTTATATTGGGGCAGTGGGTATTATTGTCTTTCTCTAATATTATTTATTTTTCTTGTCAGATCTCTAAATTGTGGACTAAATAGTTCATACTTAAGAGTAAGATAGATAAGCTTACCTTATTCAAAAATAATTATTATTTGAAATTTTATTTACCAACCTCATAATCTTGTAGTTAAAAATTGTTTTTTTAACACTTGGTTCAGAGGTAATGTACAGTGGTGGTTTTGGATGTCACGTTTCTTCCGAAAATGACCAACATGCTTTTATTTTATCTTAATGGAATTGCGCGTTAGCTCAACCTTTTCCAACCAGATCTTGCTGTCACCACTCACCACAAAACAAATATGATTAATTATTTACGTCAATGGAATAATGTGGTCCACCATAGTTGGTGCCTAATATTACTAGGCTTGATGAAGGAAAATACTTACTTCCTTCAGGTAAGTAGGAACTTTTACATTTTTACTAATAGTACTGTGACTCGTGTGCATAAGTTTTTCATTTTGTGTTTTTGATGAATTGCTTTTTTCGTATGTATCAAAATGTAATTTGCATGAAAGAGAAGTATCTCTTTACAAACAAGGAGGCAAGTAGATGATGTTCAATATATAACTATAGAGATCATATTTTCAATTATTTCAATTGCTTTAGCTTTACCAAAAGTATTTGATTCAATAATCCAATCAAATTCCCTTATTTCAAGTGTTTAGAAGTATAACTTTTCTTCTTGTTGTCTTTAAATTTGAAGCCATGGCTGATATAAGTCTTTGAGAGCTCCTAACACCTTAGGCTTTGCATTTCCACAGAACAGTCGCACGTTACCTTTTTCATAAACCTAGCCTTTTTTAACACCACCTTTTGGACTTGGAGGGTCTTTCTGTCATCACCCGTGCATCAATTGGTAGACAAGTTGAGGTTTTTTTTTTCTCTTCCTCAGTTTGGGCAAATTGCATGCCAATTCAAGTATTAACTAACATGGTGGAAAGGAAACTCTGTTGGCATTTCAGTATTTCTTATGCTAGAGATCAACCCCGTGGGGCTCTTACTCTGAAATATAATTAGCTCATCTCTGAGTGAACATTGAAATTTTCTTCTAATGGATCTGATCTAAGAAGAGTAGAAGACCTTGCATTTTTTTTTCTCCAAAACGAAAACAAGTGATGCCGAATTATACAAGATTTCATTAATTCTTTTTCCTTTTTTTTTTTTTTTTTTTTTTCTTTCTGCACTGTTCTGTTTCAAAGCAGCAAAAAGGTTACAGCCCATGTAGCTTGATAGACAGGAAATTTCAAAAAAGAAGGAAAAAAAAAGGGGTGGGAGGGAGGAGAAAATCTATCCTTCTGCCTCTTCCGAGTGTGTATATTATCATACTTCTTTAACATAGATCCACGCATGTAGCTTGTTCTACTATGAGTCGTTTACCTGTTCAACAAAACGGTCTCTTCTGCTGCATCAAAAAAGCATCCCCAATGTCAGATTCAGCTCAACATAACTATAATTTATAATATGAACATCAGGTTTTAAGCGCTATGATTAGAAAACGCTTCTTTCACTACTTATCTATTGCTAGACCCCTGTGACTATATCATATGTTCATATTGATCATATTACGATGAACAAAATTCCCCATAGAAGACTTAATGATGTTCCAAGTTACTGCAGTTTTTGCTAAGAGACTTACACGAAATTTAGATTCCTGCAGATTATCCAGCAACCTAGCAATCTCTAGTTGCTTTACCACTGCAGCATGCAGTACCTGTAACAATAACATTCAAGTGAAAATTATTACTATCTATGCTATTAAGAGTTCAATAATCAAATGACTAAAAGTAGTCACAGTTACATAGCATACTCTTTTTGTTTGCTCAAGATCATGTTCAACAGACTTTATCCTGTCCAAAGAGTCCATCAACATTCGCTCCTTCTCTAAAGGAATCGCAGCAGGCTTGTTGTTAAGGTCCTCGTATACCTTTTCTAGCTGTTGAAGACGCTGTAAACATGGGAGGACATAGTCTTCTTCATTCACAGCTTCAGGTGTTGGTGACTGGCTATGTGTGTTGCTTTCCACCAAATTAGATGGGTAAATGTTGTTCTTCCTTCCCCAAAATTCAAATCGTAGAATATGAGAAAATGGTAGTACTCTGACCAGGAAAGATATCAGCATTCTTGCCACACGAGAGAAGTCCCTCCTCTCAATTTGGTCCTTAACAATGTCATGCCGAAAGTCAACTGAACTACCTGAAAAGATCCATGAATTTAGAACATAAGCTAAAAGGTAAGGTTGACAAGGAAACAACAGCTGATAGCTGAAGTACGAGTAAGCGATAATAACAATTTGTACATTTGTAAAAGTTGACAATAAAGCTTTTAGCAAAACTAAATGAAAATAAGTTAGTAATAGTATTTACCTTCTGAATTTGATGTTGCCTCACGAGAAACATTTTCCATGCTATGATTAAGTGATTGACCCTGACGATGTCCCACTCCTTGATCACTTGTTACAGCTTTCTCAACCAGAGGCAAATTATCATCACAGCTGTAGTAAGCATTTGGATCTGATGCCTTCACGTGCATAAAACAAATTAATCAAAACACACACCAACATATGCATGCAGTACATATATGGAACCACACAAATCACAAAGAAAATAAATCCCGAAACTCACTTCTTCATTAACTGCGTCCAAAGGAGGAAACGTAGAACTCCTTCGTCCCAGCGAAGAACTTGGATCATCATTATCTGACGCCGATTCTGCAATTGATGTATCACTTGTTCTGCCCTGGTTAAAAAGAACAAGAACAGAATGATGGATGCATCATTATCTGAACCAGTAATAGAATGTACCACAAATAACAATTCTGAACTAACCTTCAGTGGGCTTATTTGAATATAAGAGTCAAGTTTCTGCTGTTCATTAGACACTCTGGTGATTTCCCTCACAAATGTTGCTTCAGCAGCATGCAGAAGCTACAAATTAGAGAACTTAGGTTAATCTTCACGAATCAATTTGATAAAGTGATTCAAGCCTAAAACCACTACACAATTCAATAAGAAAAAAGAAAGGTAACAACCTTCATTATCTCTATGTCATTCCATGGACCTTTATTAGACTTAAGGCAGCCTCCTTCAGTAGAACATGTACATGATCCGCCCAGGAAATCTGGCAACTGACTGGAAGGAGATGTGTAACAATGAGATGATGGGTACTGTCAAGTGCCAAGGAAAACATTGCAGATAGTATAATGTAAACATACCTTGAATCAATGACTTCCAGTAGTTTAGACAAAGATTTGGGTTCCAGAACCTGGATTTTAATACAGTTAATACAAAAATCAAGGCTGCAAGAGAAAGGAAAACTAGATGCCATGGGCCCGAACAATATCCTTTACCTGTATCTTTGAAATAGTCTTTACATCAAGAAATTTCTGTGCAGCAGGCCAAAGCATCTTCTTAAAGCCAGGGCCAGCATTGACAATGTACATTCGGTGTAATGTCTATATATTGCAATACAGTTAGATCACATGCAGCACTTTATAACATATAATTGTTTAAACCAAAGTTCAGCTACCTCAGGGTAGTAATTGGTGTCTATCTTTGTCATAGCACCCAAGAGATTCGCAGCAGTCCTGGTGAAATTTTTCATGCCCTGTATTTCACATAACATCAAATTTCTAATTCAAATTCTGCAAATTCACAATGGCAGCTACGGAAGTACCAAACTCGTACAAATATTTTAAGATCCTACGAGTATCAAATTAGAAAAATGGGGTTTCTATACTGAAAGGAAATGCATTATAGGTAGAAGAGCAACATTATTTCATAAATGCATTAGAGTGAAGAGGTTAGCATACCAAGCCTTGTACATCAAGTATAGTTGTTGTTGAACAGATTTGTCTCTTCGCTGCAATTGAACAAGCAGGGAATTTCTCCTGTAGAGCTCTCTCAAATTCTTGGACATGATACTTTAAGTATCGCTCTATACTGGTGATTTGCATAAGCCTACTTGGATGAGCTTTTCCTAGCCTTTCTATGTAAACCGGTCTGCCTTCTTTATCAACCCCATGGTACCCTTGAGGATAATATTGCAATACTTCATCGAGCTCTTCAAATTCAAAATCCTTCAATTGATTATTATGAAAAGGTGTTAGAACTAAAGGAATATATATATATATATATATATTAAAAGTTCGTACTGTAAATATACGACATCATTCCGAGGCCAGTTTTAATTCAGATGTTAATGAATTAATGGCCAAAGATTGACCATCAGTTTCAAGGTCTTAGATTAGTTTAACTAACATTTTGCTTCCAACTAAATTTGAGTTAATGAACAATTCCTCTTCCCTAGCAAACCAAAAACTTATCCAGTCTATTATTACATCAATAGTAACAAAAATTAACATCCTTACCTCCAAAATGGTGTCTGTTCCAAATTCTTTTCTCCATTTAAGCATTTCTTCCCACAAATGGATTGTTTTTTCAATGTTAAGGTCTCTAGCTTTCAAAAATCTACATGAGATGGAGAAAAAGATAATATTAAGCTTACTGTTCAGTAAATCTGAATTTTCAGCTGATAATTAGTCACAATGTTAATGAAACACAGATATATTGAGGCATTGGCTGACCTCAACAAAGTATGGTAGTCATCATGCCTCGCTGGCAACAAGTCCATGTCAAGGAGTCTTTGACGCAATTCTTGGACAGCACTCTCCTCTTTTTCATCACGTACATCTTCTATGGAAACTGATGGAACCCGGTAATCGATTTTCCTTTTTCCCCTTTTCTTAAGAGAGTGAGTAAACTTGCTTGAAGCATTTATCGCCTTCTTCTTGAGGTTGCAAATCCTTGAGCGTCGTCGCTCCTCTTCAGAATTCTCAAAGTCTGACCTTCTATCTCGAATTTCATCACAAGCTCCCAGCCCTTCTAGGCCTAAAGTGAACAAATGTACACAGTCAAAGATCATAATTATGAACTTTTTCTGATACCCCGTTGTTTTCAAACATTCTTTTCCTATGCAAAATTTATCTCGAATTTGCATTTTCCAATGAAACAAGCATCACATTCCCTTGAACTAACACATTGTGCTGAGTAAAAATTGTTCTTCCACCAGAAAAAAAATATATATAAAATATATATATATATATTAAGCTTGTGGACCAAAAGCATACCTGACATGTTAGTCCTATGCAGAAGGAAGATCTTCCGAGTTGCTTGACACTAATTTTTCAGAGCAAGAAAGCAAATCCACAGTAAACTCTACAGCATGCATGTACCCATATACTGTAAAAGATAAGCAACGACTTAGGATTCAAAGGTAAGACATAATCATATCTTCATTATACAGAATTAAAGCAGAAGTGAAGTGACTGACTTCATTCTTTAGTAGGACAGAAGATGAAATATGATTAACTAATTTAAATGCGCACACAACCAAATCAAGTCCTCCAAACCATCAAGGTCAGAACAAGTAAAACCCCATGGAACCAAATAATATAAAAAAATCAGAATAATAAACCTGAATAACTATCTAAATGTAAATCACCAGCTCTTGGCTGCATTTGGTAAAAATGAGAAAAGGAAACAACTGCATTGTGTTCTGGTACTTTCCCTGTGAATTCCTACCCCACAATTTCACATTCCCATGAAACCTTATCACTATTAGGCCTCCCTTGAACCGTTGAACCTATGTTCCACTAATTACTGAGTCATTTTCCGCTTAATTAAACCTTGCAAATAAAAGTCACTTTCCAACGCCTGTAGGCTCACCAAACAAACCCCTTAAAATTCAATACATAACTCTTAAAAAGGTATATAGATCTGAAGCAGCTAAATTCTCCAAACTACAGACACCCCATTTTCCTCTATCTTCAGAACAAGCAGATTCCAATCTCATCATATCCAAACTTGCCACCTTTGACGGATTTCACTTTCCTGTTTCCATTAATTTTAACAAAAACCACAAGAAGCAGCCTGATTTCCGAAAACCAGTCGAAAAGGAATCTCTCTCACTTCAGGTGATTAATGAAAGAACTGAAAAGGGAAACCCCATTAAGCAACTCAATTCCAGGAGCTCTGAAACTTATGAGTTTGTGAGAACAGTGAAACCGTTAAAAGCTATTTGAGCATCTGAACCATCAAGCTCTCGCATTTACACCTTCTCAACGCTCCTAAATCCCCCAAACGCATTAAATCTCACCAATGCCGATAAGCCACGTTCGGATCACATCGTAACTCTACGTAAATTTTCCACACAACCAAACGTACACTCCAAAATCCAAAAATACATACATATTGATATTCTAATTTCCAAAAAAGAAAGAAAATTTAAGAGAAGTAGAAACAAAAAAACCTAGATTGAAAGCTGGATCACCATCCGAGAAGCTTAGGTCATCGATTCGGGCGCAGAGAATCTATCCAGAAACAGAGACGGAGTGATAAACGGATAAAAAAGAAAGTCGGTAGGAGATTTTCCCGAGAAAAAATCGGGAATTTTCTCGAGAAAATTTAATGAACAGCTGAATGAGTTTATAATAAGGATAGATTAGCAGAAAGAAACGAAAAGCAACAAAATTCACAATCGGAAGAGAGAGCTCTCTCCTTCTCCTTTCCCCAGCTGTCCTCTCTCCTCTCTCTTTTTATTTTCCTTCTCCCTCTTTATTCATTTTCTTCTTCTTCTTTTTTATTATTTATTTATGGCCTTTAATTCGCTTATTTGGCACCGCTGTCCCCTCAGATTTGCATACGTGGCAGTTTCTGCTTTCATTTTATTTTATTTTTAATTGTATTTAGGGGAGGTTGCGGCAAAATTGGATTGACGGTGGTGATTGGACTCGGATAAAGCAAAGTTATGCTCTTTTGCTTGTTCGATTCGTTTCGTTCTTACTTTTTATTTATATATATATATATATTAGCTAATTATGATATTGGGGAATTACATCAAATCACCTGTTTTATTAATTTATAAACTTTTCGATTGCGAACCAAAAGTTAAATAATTCTAATCTGTTTGAAAATTCTAGAAGTGAATTGAAAGATTATTCGACCTATGATACATACGAAAAGAATTAGAATTTTAAAAGTCTAGAAAACTTGAGTAAAAAAAATTTACAACTTAATGACATGGATTATTTTAGACATTTTAGGTAAATTTATTCATTCCACTTGATAAGAAAATTAAATTAAAAAAATATAAACGTACGTGTACATTCATTGAAGCTAAACGTACTATAAACTATAAAGTAAATTAAAGCTTTTTTCATTCCCACGTTTTTATAAATAAATAAATAAATAACTCTCCCATTTGTTTATGGGCTATAAATACAGTCAAAATGGATTAAACAAAGATAAGTTTTTTTTTAATTGAGAATTTAATTCACTGGCCAAAGTTACTAATTTCCAAGTCAACGAAATTGGGTGCATAAAAAAAGGTAAACTAAAATTAGGAAACGGTTTTCCATACGACCAAAATAGTTGGTTTGTTTGTTTGCCGTAACCCAAAAATATAAATAAAAAATTTATAATAAAAAATGTAGGTTTTGTTTGTTGGCACGAATTTTGTAGTGTCAGCTTATTAGTTAGTACGGTCTCATCATGATCATTGATATCTGATATGAGTGATGGGTCAATGATTTGTCAGTCAATCGTGCGGTTCAGAAATTCCAAACCGATAATTAATGTTTTTTATAGTCATTTATTAAATAATGATAGGATGGTAGCAGCAGTCGTAGGAGAGGAGGATGTTGAACCAAAACACTCGAATTCTGTAGAGTTAGTTGGTAGTTAAAAATTTAGGGTTAACAACAGCAACGGCTACGCAACAAAGACGACACTTCCACCAAACCCTACTGTTTCCATGGTGACTATACGCACCGTACTGTTGGCATGATTTACTCACCCAACTATTGTTGCAGTGAATTTACAACGCCCAACTAGGGTTTGAAATTAATTAGGTTAGCCCCCCACCCCACCATGGTCCATGGATGATGGATGATGGAGACCTGTCATCTCTCATGACATGATCTCATCACAAGCATCTTGTGTTGCCTTGCCACCACCATCACTTGAATTAATTCACTCCAAAAAAAACAAAAACAAAAGTTCACTCCAAAAGTGTTGGATATTTTAAGAAGGTGAATTTTGTGTGTCCATGTATGTCGACAACATTTGATGGACCCAATTTAATGGCGTAATTTAGCCACTACAATTTTTTTTTATAATTTTTTTTTAATTAACTACAATTTGATTATGTAAGGGGCTTGTAACAAGTAGTTAAGAGCAATTACTCGTGCACTTAAAATATTGTGTACAAAATACTATAGGGTAGATGTACTTTTTGAGAAAAATACAATCATCATCTTCTTACACTCAGGCCTCATTTGTTATGGAGGACTAGACTAGACTATACTAGACTAAACTAGCAAAATGCCTACATTTCGTGTGCAATCAAGGCATAATATGGATATTGTTGTCTAACTTAGAGGATAAAGGAGGACTATTCATAAGAGGTTAATGACTAAAAGTTATCCCTCATAATCCCACTAATTTCAAGGAAATTAGAGGGGATAAGTTTTAATCATCAACCTCTTATAGATAGTCCTCATTTTTCCTCCAAGTTAGGCAACGTATTCATATTATGTCTTCAATGCATATGAAATGTATGCATTTTTCTAGTCTAGTCTAGTCCTCCCCACCAAACAAGTTCATATATAGTTCATGAAAACCAAAACAGAAAAATAGGTTGAAAAAGCTAAAACCAAATTAGTGAGAGTTGTGGAATATTGGTACCATATTAATGGGGGAAAAATAAAAGCTAACCAATATTTGAGTGAGATTCTCTTCCTTTGTAACCATGAGTTTACTTGGAAGAATTGACACGGCAAACTCTATCCCACATTGAAGCGCTAGCATGACTGTGTTTTGAGTATTCTACTGAACGTTCTAGAAGAAAAAGTGAGAACTTGAATTCAACCTTATATAATGTAAAGGTTGGCATGCTAAGTTTTTGATTGTTGAGATTCACGTAATTTACCTAACTTGGATTACGTCTGCAACATTTATTTGGTTTTTCACTAATAACTAATGTGGTTGCAAATATTAAAAGACTAATCCTCTCATAAGAGGTAACTTATCAAAAAATTAAAGTTGGGAAAAGGTTTCTTGTTGTATACATGCAATGTGTGGGGTATGTCGATCGGCTAGGCCAAAACAAGCATAAACATATATCATAGTCTATTCTATGGCCCGTTTGATAATCTTTTTTATTTTATTTTTAATTTTTAATTTTTAATTTTTTGTGTTAGAGTATAGAGGAAAATGAGTGTGAGAATGGAAGTGAGTGTGAGATTGATAGAGAGAATGAGATGGGAGGATGAGAGAGAATAGTAACAAAAGTGAAAATGAAAACAATTTCAAATAGATTTCAATTTTTTGTTTTTGTTTTCACTTTTGTTACTTCTCTCTTCCATTTTCCCATCTCATCTACCCTATAAGATTGAAATGGTTATCAAACGAGCCCTAGATTTTTTGTTTTTTGTTTTTTGGGTAGAAATCATTGTAGACTCGAATGATTGGTAAAGAGGAATGTTGCATAATTGTGATATGTCTCATCACCCGACCTCTCATTTTCCATGATAGAAAAAGAAGATTAATCTTGACAAAAGCTATTCGTATTGTTTGGTGGGTACGTAAGATCGATCTAGAATTGAGATCGATTAGGTCATCTTCATGGGATATTGAGTCATCACATTTCACAAGTCACTAAAACCCAATATAAAAAACATGCCACTCATATTTTGAATATGGGATATAGTGAGTGCAAACCATCACGTAAATGCAACAAGACAGCAAAGTCAATCCAAAACGTGATTTACAAAATCGATTTGTGTTTTCTTTGTCAATCCCACTGCCCTACGCAATCTGTGTTCCGTTCCCCTTTAACATTCCATTTGCACATATTTGAATTTGAGCCATTTGCCAATTTGGTGAAATTGCATTACACGAAATCTTTTGAGATCGATCAGTTGATTAGAAAATGCATATATTTGGCGAGAGGTCACCCTAGGGATTGTGGGATCAGATATCAACAGTCTCCACTTAATAGTGCTTTGTGATTACCCACTACTCAGTATATTGGGACCAAAAAAAAGAGTAATGTATATTTGCATATTCTAGCTACT